CACCGCCACCACTGGTGGCCCCACCTGGCAGGAGAAGATAGCCCATAAGGACTCAGGTTTATGACCGATAATGGTTTCCGTTTTTTCTAGTCACCCTATGAAACAATGACAAAGTCTAACACAATATTCAAGTGACTATATGCTTGTGACAACCTTTCGTCTTTTGTGTGTTGCTTTAGCAGAGCACCTGGGACTGCTCGTTTATAAGGAATGGAAATGCATTTCTCACCATCCTGGAGTCCGGAATTGGCAGGACAGGGTCAGGGAGATGCCTCGTGCTGCAGCATCCCAAGGTGAAGGGTTTAAGCAGGGGAGGCATGGGCATCCTTTTATACAGAACCCACCCCCTTAACACTGAACGGTAACATCACACTGCTTCTGTGTGTGTGCACCTGTTCATGTGTATGCACACGCACGTACAAGTCCGTTCATGGTCATGTGTGCATCGGTCAGAAGATAACCTCCAGTGTGGTTCCTCAAGCAACCTCTTGTCGTGGTGGAAGCTCCACCCCAGCCCCTGGCATCCATATACCCAAAGAGTCTGGGACGTTATGGTGGAAGTTCCACTCAAGCCCCCTCACCCATCTTCCTCCTAACCCTGCTGCATCTCAGAAAGCCCGCCAAATGATGGTCCCTCCCTCAGAGATGCTCAAGACCACTCCCACAGGGTATTTAAACTGCCTCCCAGAAAATAGACCTGTGATTTTCCAGTCTCTCTTTCCTCTTGGGGGGGGGGGCTGGAAGGCGGTCCAGGAACATTGTATCCATTAAACATGGGCTTTTTATAATTCGGTTTGATTTGGTCTGATTTGGATTGCTGCATCAGTGGAGAGACTTATCAGCAGGGTGTAGAAACTTTTCACCTCTCATATTTTGTTTATTTGTTTTGAGGCAAGGCTTCTCTAGTTTCGAGGCAAGGTTTGCCAAGTACTCTAACTAGTTGGCTAACAAGCCATCTTCCCATCTTGCCACGCATTTTGCTTTGTTTTTTTTTTTTTTGAGACAAGTTTTCTCTGAGTACCCCTGGCTGTCCTAGACCTTTCTCTGTAAGCCAGCTGGCCTCAAACTCAGTGATCCCCCTGCCTCTGACTCCTGAGTGCTGGAGCTTGCACTCTGGATTTCTTATGTGAGCTCTGGGGTCTAACTCAGATTCTCATACTTGAGCAATGGAACTATCTCCCCAATCCTCCACAGCCATCTCTTGAGGACTCTGCCTCTTCATAATGTTAAAATAACAATTAAACTCCATCAGAACTGGAAGCTGACTCAGTAGGTAAAGTACTCACAACTCAAGTATAAGGACCAGAGGTCAGACCTCCAGAACTCATGCAACACCAGGCACAGCTACCTCAAGTCTATCAGCATTCCTACAAGGTGGGAGCCAGCAATGGAAAAACCCCTGGGAGCTCTTGCCAGCTAGCCTGAGGTGTGCAGTGGCTAGCCTGAGGTATGCAGTGGCTAGCCTGAGGTATGCAGTGGCTAATGTGAGGTGTGCAGTGGCTAACCTGAGGTATGTAGTGGCTAGCCTGAGGTATGCAGTGTCTAGTCTGAGGTATGCAGTGGCTAGCCTGAGGTATGCAGTGTCTAGTCTGAGGTATACAATGAAGAACAACATAGACCCTGTTTTGAAGAGGAAGAGGGGACTAGCTCTCAAAGTTATCCTCTGAGCTCCACATATGCACTGTGACATAGGTGTGTTTGCACTCACACACACACACACATGCACACAAATAATTTTAAAAATTAAACTTCCTGTCAGGTGTACTGGTGCACCTCCCAGCACTTGGGAGGCAGAGGCAGGCAGATCTCTATGAGTTCGAGGCCAGCCTGGTCTATATAGTGAGCTCCAGGACAGCTAGGGCTACCCAGTGACACCCTGTCTCATCTCCTGCCATAATAAATAAAATCAATATGTCTGAGAAATTAACACATTCAGCATCTGCCCAGTCACCTAGACACTCAGTGACCACTCCAACCTTTCCTCCATCCAAAAATGCAAACATCAGTCAGTACAAGATCTCCTCAGAAGACTGTTTATTTCACAGGCCTCCTTGTAGACGGTCTGCAGTCATTTAGTCCCAAATAAACACACAGAGGCTTATATTAATTATACACTATTTGGCCTATGGCTCAGGCTTCTTATTGGCTAGCTCTGTCTTAATTAGCAATCCATTTCTATTAATCTGTGTATCCCCACGTGGCTTACCAGTGATGCCCTTCTTGCTTCCTCTGCAGCTGCATGGCATCTCCCTGACTCTACCTATTACTGTGGGAACAACAGACCTTGGTCGGAGACCCACTTTCCCATCAGCCTGGGGGCAGGCAGCTGTAAGACAATGTTTACTAAAAACATGTTTACTAAAAACAACCCGATGTCCATAAGAAATGTTTACTGGAGCAATAAGTTCCTGAAAGGGGCTTGCCCACAGAAACTCCCTGACCTCGACCTTTCCAAAGACTAACCGCCTCTTCCTGACCCACCCACCGAAGTCTCTGGTGTCACAGCAGAACCAGCCAGGGGTAAGGAATGGAGCAGAAGCTTTTCTTGAGGGAAGCCTTTCTTGGGAAGTTTTCTTGAGCCTTCTTGGGGCCTGCTTAAAGTTTTCTTTACACCGCCGACTGGTCTCTGTGTCATCAATCCCGACACCCTCCGCACATTCTCAGATACAGGCTATGCATCGGGTGTGGCATATTACTTTTCTCTGTCCCTGCTCAGATTTCCTGCTTGGCTAAATCTTCCGTGTCCATTGGCTGAAACAGCTTTATTCATCAACCAATAAGAGAAACATATATTTACAACATACAGAAGGACATCCCCTATCATTTTTCTCTTCAAAAGTCACTTGGAATCTGAAACCAACAAATCACGACATCTATTTGCTCACCCTCAGAATTCTGTCGTGTGTGTGTGTGTGTGTGTGTGTGTGTGTGTGTGTGTGTGTGTAGGGTTTTGCACATTCAGTTTATCGCCCATGTCTACCCAAAGCTAATTGACCATGTCCCAAGAGCAGAAGGTAGCAGAGAGCCCAAACTAAACACACCGTCCCTGAGTCTGCTTTCTCCCTCCGGCAGCACTCCCACCTTCCCAGTGCATTCCCTAGGTTCTCGTGCCCCAGGTGTATTCCACTCACACTGTTTACAGAGCCTGTGTGTTGCCATAAATAATGTGCCCACTCAGTAAGCCATATTATACCTTTTTCTGACACAAGTATAATTAGCAGCATCTCCCAGGGCCTTTATCATCCCAGTGACAAGTGAACAAATTTAGCCACTCAGCTTATTTCCTGGGACTTTTGGATAATTACCCAGATTATAATATAAAAATCTATTTGTTTATTGTATGTGGCTGGTGGTGTTTATTTCTTCCTAATGATGCTTTCCTCTCATAGTTTTGGCCCATTTTCTGGTTCTAGTACCCATTTCCCTTACAGACAATCATTACATAGTATAAAATACACATCATAGCAAAGTGTACACACAGAAACTCAACGAAAAAACCTGAAGGGACTGGGAATGTGGCTCAGTCGGTAGAATCCTTGCTTAGCATGCAGGTGGTCTTGCTAAGTTTGACCCCACCCCCACCCCAGTACCACAGAAGCCAGACTTGGTGGCACACGGCTGTAATCCCAGCACTGGGGAGGTGGCTGCAGAAGGGTCAGATGTTTAAGGTTGCTGGGCTGGCTCACACCTTCAGTCCCATCACTGGAAAGGCAGAAGTAGGTGGATGGATGAATCTGAGGCCAGCCTAGTCTATACAGCAAGTCCAGGCCTGCTAAGTCAGATAGTGAGACCAGGTCATCTTCAGCTACAAAGAGAGTTCAAGGCCAGCTTGGGATAGACTGTTTAAAAAAACAACAGCAATAATCCCAGAGATTCTGGGTATGTCTACAAACAAATGCAGATCTGTCAAATCTTTGTATGTTTTTTATTTTTCAAGACAGGGTTTCTCTGTGTAGCCATGGTTGTCCGGGAATTTGCTCTGTAGATCTGGCTGGCCTTGAACTCATAGAGATCCACCTGCCTCTGCCTCCTGAGTGTTGGGACTAAAAGTGTGCATCACCACTGACAGGCCAAGATCTGTGAAATCTTATTTTTTTCAAGTCACCAGATCTAAGTGGGATTGTAGGAAAATTTAAAATTAAGGATTAGGATCCGGATCTTAACTGCTTTACAAAGCTATTGTGAAGATTACATGGAGTAACTGGTCATAGAGGCACACATCGGCGATCTCAGCTCTCCAGGACAGAGGTAGGAAAATCAACACAAGTTCAAGGCCAGCCTGGGCTAAAGAGCAAAACCCGGTCTCTGAGAACTCAAACCACTAAAGTGATAGTGTTTAATTCTCTCACCTGAAGACACATTTCAGGCTGTGAATGGAGCTGGGTGTGTCACATATGATATCATGAAGCCGGTTAAATAAAAACAAAGATGGACTTTGAACTATGCCTGAGTACTGTCATCTGACAGATGAACTTGAAGCTCTTCAAAGTTAAAAAATTGTCTAAGACAGAGTATAGCAGAGCAGCACACCCAGAGGTGGGCAAATATATGAGTCCCAGGCCAGCTTCATCATGTAATGAGTTTCAGAACAACACAACAAGATTGTCTCAAAAACAAAAATAACCAGGTGGTGGTGGCTAACGCCTTTAATCCCAGCACTCAGGAGATAGAGGCAGGTGGACCTACAACAAAACAAAAACATGGTGTTAGCACATGTTTACACACACACACACACACACACACACACACACACACACACACACCAGAAACAGCAACAATAACAAAAAAAACTCTTGGTGGTAGCACTTGTTTAGCTTGGTCCACAGAGCAAGTTCCAGGACAGCCAGAGCTACACAGAAAAATCCTGTCTCAAAAAACCAACCAAACAAGCCAGGCAGTGGTGACACACACCTTTAGTCCCAGCACTCAGGAGGCAGAGGCAGGTTCGAGATCAGCCTGGTCTACAAGAGCTAATTCCAGGACAGGTTCCAAAACCTACACAGAGAAACCCTGTCTCAAAAAAAACTTAACAACAACAACAACAACAAAACCAACCAACCAACCAACCAACCAACAAAAAGCCCAAAATAATTAACAAGTGGTCCAACAGTCTAGACCCTACTGAGGGCTAGAATGCTAGTCAGGGATTTATCAAAATCCAGGTGAAGTGGGCTTGAAGTGTCCTGTTATAAAGTTGTCTCTGAAGTTGACCATATCTTCCTCTGATACAAGAAAACAAATCAACTTAGAGTCTAGAGCAGGAACTGATCTCCAGCAAGAGCTCATCACAGTCAGCAGTGCCTCTGTTTCCTGTTTGGTTCCTGGTTCCCAGATTAGCATCTTGCCTGTAGATCCTACTTGCCCATCCATCTCAGGATGTCACATATATGGAACGCTTGCAATGATCTCCTTTCCAAAATACTCCAAAGGAATTGGCATGACTTCACACCATGACGTCATCAGGGAGGTGACAGATGGAATCCATGTCATGACACACAGAAAAAAAAGTCCCGTCTTCTGCTTCCCCCTTCCACAGGGTTTTACTCCAGACAGTTTTCTGTTGACATGATTTTTTTTCTCGCTTTGTAGCCCCTGGCTATGGCATACCAAGGCAAATGCAGGTCACAGCATTAACTATGCATGTAATTTTTAAGTCGCCTAAGGATAGACAGATGAGTGCAAATTAGATATACACTCTGTAACAGCCCATTTTTACTTATTGCTTGACTGGTGGTGCAATCTAAACAGACAGTTCGAAGGGTTTTGGTGTCATTTGCTTACTGAGTAAGTATGAGTTGATTGCCTCCTGAAGGGCAGGCAAGGTACCATGTATGAGCAATCGGCAGGTACACCATAATCCCCATCTCTGCTTTGAGAACTTTATAAGCCCAAGGTGAGCACCAGGCAACATCCCAGGGCAAATGCAGTCAACTCTAACTTGTTAGGATGCTGTGTGGTGGGGTGGGGGTGGGGCTTAGTTGCCTAGAAGTGCCTGAAAGCTTCCTCCGGGAGACTGCAAGGCAGTGGAGTCACACCGCCACCAGCTTGCACTTATGCACCTCTCTCCACTGAGTTCCGATACTTGGACAGGTTGCTGTGTCTATACGCGTGCCCTCCTGTGTAAAGAGAAAAATTCGCAATTGGCGGCATGCTGTGGAAATGAGAGGTAGAGGTAGCACTGTTAAAGTTTCTCTCAGGGTACCGCGCGCGCGCGCACACACACACACACACACACACACACACACACACACACACACCAAGCTTAAGCACTTGGCGCTTGCCATCATTATATACCAGTGTAAACGGCAAGGGAAAACTAAAGAAAAGTTGAGGCAACAGCAAGGGATAAATGCATGGCATGGCGGGAATTGGCTCCGAATTCCAAGAGTAGCTGCACAGGCTTCCAGCTGTCCTGTCGACTGCCTAGCCGTATCTAATACTCTTAGGCTCTCACAAGTACTGTTTTCATGAGTTGCTTGGGGGCGGGGAGATATCATTTGAGGGCTGATTTCTAGCTGAGTTTTAGCTCGGATCAGATTTTCAAGGGACAGCGAGATACCTGAGAAGCAGATCCCCGGCAGAGGACACTAAGTTAGTCAGACTTTGGCAGGCTCGAGTGTCGTTTTCGGCAGATGGGAGTGGGGGTAAGGGCTGGCTGAATCCTCAGGCTGGTCTTTTAGTTCACGGTCCAGTCCTGGCGCTAAGTGAAAAGGACCTAGAAGAGGGGACGTGAGCGCAGGACATCAGGAAGCTGGGGCCCCCCTCCTCCCTCCCCGAAGGCTCCGAGGCGTTCCCTCCCCAGGCCTCCCAGGATCTTGGATTCTGGCCACCTCCGCACCCATCGGATGAGTGTGAATGATTTCAAAAGTGGACGTGACCGCCGCCGCCAAGGGGGAAGCCAGCACGGAAATGGGAGAGAGCGCCGATGGGAGGGCGGGGAGAAGAGGGCGCTAGGGGAGGGACGCAGGGGAGGAGTGGGAGGGATGGAGCGCCGTGGGAGGGTACCGAGCCCCGGCGCCAGAGGCAAAGCGGGGCCGGGTACCCGGGGCGGGAGCTCTCACGGCTGCGGGCGGTCCAGCCAGGTGAGATGCGGCGGCTGCTGCTGCTGTGGCTCTGGGGGCCGCTCGGTGCCCTAGCCCAGGGCGCCCCAGCAGGGACAGCTCGGGCCGAGGACGTGGGGGTCTTGGAGTTTTCCACCGAGCAGCCGCTCCATCGCGTGAGTCCCTCGTTCCTGTCTGTCACCATCGACGCCAACCTGGCCACCGACCCGCGGTTCCTCACCTTCCTGGGGTAAGTGCAGCCCCCGGTCCCATCCCTTCGCCCATCCTCCAGTCCCCGCTACTGTCTTCCCACACTCGCGGGGGCCAGCCACGCTCTTTGCTGAAGCAACTTTGCGTTTGGTCTCCCCAGCCTCCCTCTCGTGTACAATCACCCCCCACCCCCTCCCCCGCTCAAGCCTTTTCCTGTTTCATTTACTCAGCGCTTGTTGCCTGGGCACCAGCCAAGTCCAGGTGAGGAGGAGGTTTGGAGGAAAAAACCCAAAGCGGTCACAAGCTGGAACCTTTGAATTTGCCTCATTAGAGGACCAGTAAACTGGAGTCTTTTGAACTCTCTTAGGAGATTAAGATTAAAAAACAAAGAAGAAGAAGGAAAGATAAGTCAGATAGAAAAAAAAACTCTTTGGAGAACAACTGTCGCTCATCTTGCTGCTTTTTAAGCATGTAAATATAAGGGCACTGGAGTGTGTGGCCAGCATGCGAGTTAGAGGCCAGACTGGACCAAATGCAGGGAGGCAGAGTAGAAGCCAGGAGGAGAGAGGAGGGAGGAGAGAGTAAGCCACCTTGCCTAAGATTGCAGGGTGTTTCTAATCCTAGATGTGGGAAGCAGAGGTAGGAGGACCAGGAGTTAAAGGCCATCTTTGACAACAAACAAGTGTGAGGCCAGTCTGGACTAAACTGGGGCGTGGCTGGGGTGGGGGGTGAGGAGGAGACAGGGAGAGAGAGGAGACTGAGACTAATTGGGAAAACTGGGGAGGGGACAAGACAGGGCAATGGGGGAATATAATGAAAATACATCTTATACACGTTTGGAAATGTCATGATGAAACCCATTATTATCTATAATTAATATGTGCTAATAAACTTTTTTAAAAAGCACATGTTTCTCCAAGATGAGGGTGCAGACAGGATGCTGCTTCATCAGCTGCAGGGCTTTCCCTTCGCCTGAGGAAACACATCTATTGCTTCTGCTCCGTGAGGGCAGACTGTCCCCAAGATGAAAGACACCAGGCACAGTCGTAGGCCATCTAAACCATGGAAGCCTCCAGAGATCTTTTGTTGTTTTGAGATATTGTGTAACCATTAGCAAAGGCTAGCCTTGAACTCATGGTCTTCCTGCCTCAGCCTCTTGAATGCCACCACACATAGCTGACTATACCCTTACTAGGCCTTTGGGTTACCATTGTCAAACCCTAGACATCAATTGAGTGTCCCAAGCTCATACTATCAGGTGTCACCACTGATTTTACATTGGAGTCTTAGGACTAAGAGTTTGACAGTCCAACCACCCTGGTTTTCTCCAGTGTGACTCGTGGGATTTGCCTGATGGCTTGACAAGATAACAAGTACTTACTAGAATGTTTGAAGGTTAAGCTAATTGTTTCTTGCCTAGCACATACAAATCCTGGGTTCAATCCTCAACATTGCATACAAGTAGGCATGGCGGCTCATGACTCTTATCCCGGCACTCAGGAGGCAAAGGGAGGAGGATAAGAAGTTCATGGCTATCCTCAGCTATTTAACAAGGCTAGCCGGGGCTGCATTAGACTTTGTCTTAAAAAATAAATGTAAGGGCCAAGTGTGATTTAATCCCGGCATTTGGGAGACAACAATGAAGAAATTGAGGCTATGGAAGACTAAATAACTCACCCATGGTCAACCAGCTAGCAATTAAAAGTAGTATTTGAAGGCAGACACTGACCATAAAAACAAAGGCATACAAGAAGAAAACATGCGGGGCTACGGTGACGCATGCCTTTAATCCCAGCACTCGGGAGGTAGAAGCAGTCGGATCTCTGTGAGTTCAAGGCCAGCCTGGCCAACAAAGTGAGTTCCAGGACAGCCTCGAAAGCCACAGAGAAACCCTGCCTCAAAGAACGAAAACCAGAACAAAACAAACAAACAAACAAAAAAAAAGGAAAACAAGCCTGCGATTATTTTTAAAGGAAACACAGCAGAGTATATTAGGAAAAGATTGTCTAGAAACAAACTGATGGATTGATTAAAAGAAAAAAAACTACCATTAACACACAGATATAGACTTGGGGCCCAAACCTCGGAGGTGCCCCAAGGAGGGTTAGACAAATGAACTGGGATGGTATGACTCTGTTACAAGCACTGGATGAGTGAAAACAGGTCTCTCTCACATTTGTAACCAGAGAACAGACAGTACGAAAATTCAAACGTTAATCTTAGAAGACTCTCGAATTGAAAAGGAGCATCTGTTAAATTTCTCTTCCCTGGGGAAATTAGTCAGAGAATATTCTCAGCCTGCATTAGTGAAGAATACCAAAGAGACCCCAGTCCCAGAAGCAACATGAATTATGGTGTGTGCCTCATCTGCAAGGCACAAATGTAATTTTAAAACTTTTTGCTAAACACATTTTACAAAAAGCAAAAAGGCTGAACATGATTGCTAGCTATAATCCTAGCACTTGGGAAGCAGAAAACAAAAGGGTCGCATGTTCAAGATTAGCCTGGGCTACATATCGAGGCCCTGTCTCAAATAGGAAAGCAACAAAGAGCAAATATAAACAGTAAGAAGAAGTGTGTGAATGCTAACATTTGGCAGTTCTGGGAACAGAGTCCAGGGGCTTGCACACTATATAACCTACTCTGACACTAACCTGCACCCCCAATATAAAAACAGTAATGAGATAGTTCACCTTCCCCTTGTAAGATCATGCATCTAAAATCTTGTGATTTACGTTTACATCATGTCTTAGGTCAGCCCGAATACATCTCAAGTGTCCAGCAGCTAGTGGCTACTGTGTTAGAGAGCGCAGTTCTATTTGAAATAAGGCATATGCATTCATGGCCATAATCTCCTCATTAAAAAAAAGGCAATATAGCGCTAAGAATCGGTAGAAATCCTAAATTCTGCAAGGCAGAAGTGGCATTGAACAACTGTCTTAGGGTTTTTGTTGTTGTTGTTGTTTTGGTTTTTTTTTGTTTGTTTGTTTGTTTTGCTTTTTGCTTTTTTGAGACAGGGTTTCTATGTGTAATAACCCTAGCTGTCCTGGAACTAGCTCTGTAGACCAGGCTGGCCTCAAACTCACAGACATCTACCTGCCTCTGCCTCCAGAATGCTGGGATTAAAGGAATTTGCCACGATTGACAGGCTTAGTTAGGGTTTCTGCAGTGAAACACCATGACCAAAAATCGAGTTGGAGAGTATGGCAGTTTGAACGTAATTGGCCCCCATAATCTCACAGGAGTGTCACTATTAGAAGGTGTGACCTTGTTGGAATGGGTATGGCCTTATTGGAGGAAGTGTGTCACTGTGGGGGCAGGCTTTGAGGTTTCTTATGCTCAGGATACTGCCCAGTGTCTCAGTCAACTTCCTGTTACCTGCAAGATGTAGAACTCTCAGCTACTTCTCCAGCACCATGTTCCCTGCCATGATGATAATGACTGTACCCTGCCATGACTGTACTTCTGGACCTGTAAGCGAGCCACTCCAATTAAATGTTTTTCTTTGCAAGAGTTGCTGTGGTTATGGTGTCTCTTCACAGCAATAAAAACCCTAACTACTGCAGGGAGGAAAGGGTTTATTTGACTTACACTTCCAGATCATAGTCCATCATTGGAGGAGGTCAGGACAGAAACTCAAGAATGGCTAGAACATGGAGACAGGAGTTGATGCAGAGGCCATGGAGGGTGCTGCTCACTGGCTTGGTCCTCCTGGCCCACTCAGTCCACTTTCTTATAGAACTCAGGACTTCCAGGGATGGCACCAAGGACTGGGTCCTCCCCCATTGATCACTAAATGAGAAAATGCCTTACAGCTGGATCTCATGGAAGCATTTCCTCAACTGAGACTCCTTCCTCTCTGATGATCCTAACTTGTGTCAAATTGACACACAAAACCAGCCAGTATAACAATAAAGAAAAAAACTATGTTTTTTGCTTACTTTGCATAGTAATTTCTTCTTTTTCTTCAGTAAACTTTATTTTTTGACATTTCAATAACCATTTTTGGTGGTTTGAGAATGTCCCGCCAAAAGGAGTGGCACTATTAGGAGGTGTGGCCTTGCTGGAGTAGGTGTGGTGTTACTGGAGGAAGTGTGTCACTGTGGGTGTGGGCTTCGATGCCTCCTATGCTCAAGCTACTCACAGTAAGACAGTCTACTTCCTGTTGTCTTCTGATCAAGATGTGGCCAGCAGCAGCATGTCTGCCTGCATGCTACCATACTCCCCATCGTATTGATAATAGACTAAACCTCTGAACTGTAAGCCACCACCTCAGTTAAATATTTTCCTTTATAGGAGTTGCCATGGTCATTGTGTCTCTTCATAGCAATAGAAACCTTAACTAAGATACCATTCATGAATAATTTTAATAGTTAAATTCCCACATCTTTATTAACAGTTGCTTTCTGCATTTGGAGAAGCCTTTGTTACCCATATGAAGTTTGTGGTTTAATAGCCTGTTGTGTTGGTTGCTTTTCTGTTTCTGTGACAAAAATACTACAACCAAAGACAATGTAAGGAAGAAAGGGTTTGTTTGGGTTTACTGTTTCAGAGAGAGTCCATGATGGCAGGGGAGGATGGCAGGTGATAGCCAGAATAGGAAGTAACACAAAGCAAAAAGAGGTTCTGGAAGTGGCTGAGGCGAGGTGATCTCAAAGCATACCTTCTCTAGCCAGGCCTTATCTTAAAACTCTTCAAACAACACTGTCCTCTGGGGGCCACATGTTTAGTGTGCCTATGTGTGGCATTTATCATTCCAACCACCAGACCTGTGTTGCATAGGGCACATGTCCCCTGTCTATTACTGAGACAAGTCATTTTGACTGAAGAGAGACAAAGAACAGAGAGCCACCACAGGCCTAATCCCTGACAAGTTCTGTCCCCTGATTGGCCCCTTGGTGTCCTCTTTCCTCCCAAGTCATTCCACCATGCTCCTGGAGCCTTGAGTTTGGTATCATTCTCATAGAGTATTCCTTTACCCATACGCCCTAGCTAATACAAGGCACTTCCCTGAAGACTCCTCTTCCTCTGTAACCCTGTTGAGTATGAGTCGTATATTCTCTCATACTCCATCCCTGTGCCTACTACTCCTTCTAGATGATGGTTCATTAGTCTGCACGCGAACTGCTGTAGTTCAAGTCCCTCTTGGCTTGTTACCTCTGGTGAGTTAGCTTAGCTCCTTTTTCTTTTTGTTTTTGTTTTTAGTTTTGGTTTTTGGTTTGTCAAGACAGGGTTTCTCTGTATTGCTTTAGAGGTTGTCCTGGGACTCGCTCTGTAAACCAGGTTGGCCTCGAACTCACAGAGATCCGCCTGCCTCTGCTTCCCGAGTGCTGGGATTAAAGGCATGAACCTCCAACACCCAGCCTGCTCCTTTTTGTTTAGGTTCCATATTTACAAAGAGAGAATAATGAAATCCACGCCATTGTGATGTCAGGAGACTAAGTGACAAAAAAAAAATCCTCCCAACCTACCTAAAGTGCTGGATGAAACCGGTATGTTTTAGAGGCATGTGGTTTCCCTCCAGCTCACGTTCAACCTTTGTCATTCACTGTTTCCCTAGCCTCCATATTGGTTAAAACCTGGCAGTACTCTCAGTCCCGAGTCCCATTATGTTTATCTGACAAAAACAAATTTCTCAGTTTCTCCATCCTGACCCTCTAAGAAAATTGTTACTCAATGTTGGCCAGTTTGCATCATCCCATGAAATGTCTGCATTTCTTCCCAATGCCACATTCTGTGGCATCACCCCGACACCTTGGAAACAGCAGCAGTGGAAATATTTACACCATAGAAATCTGCGAGCACCGGGAACCAGGGTGCTGTTTTGCTGACAGTTGGCTGCCATCACATGCTGCACTACTCTATTTCAACCTGCAAACATCATGACCCTATCTTGACTCTCTTCGTCTCCAGAGACATCACTTCCGTAGGTGAAAACCCCAAACACCAACTTCATGCTCTTGGATCAGATCTCCATGCCTCCTCAGCTCATTCGCATTATAGCAAAAGTAAATTCTCAACACGCCTGCCTTTTCAACAGCGCCTCCTTGAGCAGCTGCCTTTGCTCGATCTCTTCCATAGTTGAGCTTTTTGATTTATCATCCAAACCGTTCTGTGATAATAACCTCTACTTCTGCCTCATTGCTCTTCCTGAAATGCCAGCTGTCACTTAGTTCATCCTGTTTCCTTCTTTTGGAATCTCTGGGGTGGCCCTTAAATCTGGAAATGGAAATATAATAGCATTTAGTGCATATTAATAAGCCACCTCTGCTCTGTTAAAGATAAGCAATGTATTTTTGCCCTAAAGGTAAAATAAAAACACCTGCAAACTGTTTTTGTATTTTTTTTCCTTGACAGCCTCCTCTGGAAAGGGAACAGCTGCAGCCTTACACATTCTTTTATTTCCATGACACTGTGGTGGCGGGTACTTCCCCTTTCTTTCTCCTGCATATGATTGAAATACTGTGCCTTTGATCAATTTTGTTTTTATGGCAAGTTTTGCAGCTGTGTTAAATCTGTTTTTTCCTTTTGTCAGAGGGCATCAATATTGTGTTCTAAGAGCACAAAAGATACTTTACTGCAAACAAAAAGGGTTTTCCTAACAAAACTCAAAGACATATGACTTGCTTGATGTGGCAATGGCCATAGCAATGAGTTTTACTGTCATCTTGTTCAAAAATGACCTACAGTCATTGGCTGGCCTCCTCTTGCCCTTTCTCAGGCTGACTTTCTTTGTTCATCCACTTAGCAAATATTGGCTAAGTACTGCTGTGTGCCAGGCATTCATGTAGGCACTGGGAAGAATCTGATAGACCAGATGAGGTCCCTGCTCTCAGGGAGCCAGTACCAGGGACAGCAGCTGGGAGAGAGGCAGGGCAGTGAGACACATGAAGAAACTGATTTCAGAGAGTGGGAAACCCTCCACAGCACATGAGGCGGGTTGGGCTGATGGAGAGGAACCCATGATGCTGTAGGCCATTGCTCTGGAGACAAGGCTTTGATCCAAGTGTATCTGAATCAGACCATCATATGGTACTACAGCTCCTTTTCCCTCCAGTTCCCAAGGACTCTGATCTCTTTGCCAGTGTCAATTACTTACAGATATAGTAGCTACTTAAATCTAAGCGAATGTCTTCTGTCATACAAAACAAAAATGCCAAGAACAAGAACCAATGCCTGGCCAACGTCAGTGGGGTGGCATGAGGCCTGGGTGACTCTGAAGAAGTCCTTCGCATGAGCCCTTGGGCTGTATATTAGCATTCATGGACTGTGTGGCTATTATGTTTTGTCTTCATTGAGACCTTTTTTTCACAATTGCTATATTGAAATACTTGTCCTACACGTCAGCTAAATTCCAGAGGAGGCATGTTGTCTTGGCTGTTCATGTTTATGTTTCTGCACTGGGCTCTAGGCATCTGGAGTTATGACATTGGTGTGTTTCTTTGTGTAGATATGTGGTCTCACTCACCTTTGCTGTGTGGGTGTTTGGTTCTTTGGTTGCTGTTACTCTAATCTGACAAGTTGTGGACCAGCACAATGACACTCGGTTTTCAGTCTGAAGCCACACTGGGTTTCAGTGTTCAGATGCTAACTAGTCCCATATCTGAAGGTCTGGTTGGAATTCTGGGTTCATACTCCAAGCAGTCCCAGATTGCTGAGGAGAGTGGGCTGTGTGGTAGGCTATCAATGGGAGAAGGGGACCAGCTCTGTAGGTATCCTCAGTGGGATTTGGGGTCTGACTCCACTGGGGGTGGGCAAAAGCAGAACTAGGGATATCTTGGGTCAGCCAGGATGGCTGTGAGTACCAAAGGGATGCAGGTGGACTGGGAGTGGGGTGATCGGGATAACAGTGGTGGGACTCTAGAGATATTAGAATAGGGAAAGGAGGGGGAGCACCTGGGTCCCTGACAAGTGTAGTTAGTGGCTGTGAGGGTCCTAGAGGACATCAGGTCTACAGTCTAAGTGTGACTGATCATTGACTTTATACTGAGGAGTCTCCAGGACATATCCCCAAACCTAGATGTGTTTCTTGAGTTCCATTCACATGTGGCCTGTGAATCTGAGGATTTGGTGTCCATTTATATATTAGTTTGCTGTGACAAATGCCTGACAAGAGCCACTTGAGGGGAAAGGTTTGTTTCAGCATGCTTGTCTTCTCGTGGATGTCATGCTGGCGGGCCTGAGGTCACGTGGCATCTGTACAGAGAGGAGAGATGAATGTCCACTTTCTATTCAGTCTGGGACCCCAGCGCATGGGATGGTGTCGCCAACATTTAGGGCGGATCTTATCTCCTCCATTAAACTTTTCTGGAAATACACTCACAGACATACCTAGAGATGTGTCTCCGTGGTGGTTTTAAATACAGGCGTGTTGACACTGAGGGATTAGGCCCCACAGTTGGCCTATCAGCTTCTGCAGGTTTTTCTGCCCTTTCTTCCTCCCCCTCTCCAGATGGCAGTGCCCCAAACTCCTCATCCAGTCGTCACGAGTCCTTTGTTTCTGAGGATAGATGCGTCTCGAACTGTTCACCTCTCTCCACCTCCCTGGGGCAGATAGCAGCTAGAAGTTAAGGAGTAGGCCCACTAAGAGAAAAGGAAGTGAAAACGTTTAACTGGGCTTTCTCAGAAAATAGTGATCACAAGCCAGAATGGTGGTGCTTGCCTATCTCCCAGCATCCGGCACAGAGGCAGAGGGACCCCAAGTTTGAGGCAAGCCTGGGCTACATAGTAAGATGTCTCAAAAAAACTAGAACAGTAATGATAATTATCATTATACTTTCTTGCTTGTCTCCATTTCAGCTCTCCAAGGCTTCGCACTTTAGCCCGAGGTTTATCTCCTGCGTACTTGAGATTTGGCGGTACCAAGACTGACTTCCTTATTTTTGATCCCAAGAAGGAACCAACTTTTGAAGAAAGAAGTTACTGGCAATCTCAAGTCAACCGCGGTGAGACTTTGAAAAGCGTATATATTTGAGTTAACCTGCACCAGTCATGAGAATGCTTAGGGGAAAGTGTTGCTGTTCAGAAGTTCTGTGAGACATCAGATGTCTGTTAAACCGGTCTTTGAACAACTGTGAGATGCACTGAACACTTCTTCACACCTTAGGGACGTACATATTTTGTCTATGTGAGTGAGTAGCGTTTAGTTAGTTCATGTATTCCATATTCCTTCAGACTCACTTTCTCCAGTGAGAAAGTAGTCAGAGCTGTTAGTCAGTCCCCAGCTGGAAGCCTGGTGATTAGGGAAAAGCAGAAAGAAGGCACGAGGGCCCGCTTTAAGAAGAAGTTCCAGGCCGGGCGTTGGTGGCGCACGCCTTTAATCCCAGCACTCGGGAGGCAGAGGCAGGCGGATCTCTGTGAGTTCGAGGCCAGCCTGGTCTACAGAGCAAGTTCCAGGACAGCCTCCAAAGCCACAGAGAAACCCTGTCTCGAAAAACCAAAAAAAAAAAAAAAAAAAAAAAAGAAGAAGTTCCAGGGTTTTGCTCAGCCTGGCTCTAGCCCACCCTGATCTTTTTTGACCATTTGGCTTTTCTCTGCGTTTATAATCTAAGTTTAGACTGGACGCCGACCTTCCCACCTCGCTTTCCCTCATTCCGGGGCAGCTGAGGGGCTCCCTGGGATCCCCAAAGCTCCTCTGAGACACACTTTGTGAGCACTGGTATAGAAAGGGGACTCTGTCAGCCGGTCACAGGGGGGCTTCCCAGAAAGGAAGTCATCAGCCAGTCTCAGCTGGTTCTGCCAGCAAGCACTGGCAGCCCTTCTGTCTCGTGATAAAACAGTGCAGGCTTCCTGGGAGGAGAGTGGGGCGGCTCCCATGCACACGCCATGGTTCCAGAAGCCTGGATGGTACCAGCCCTCAAGGGAGAACAGGCAGGAGTTCATCAGTTTGGGCCCATTAGCTCTAATTCGTCACAGAGGAAATCACTACAAGGCAAATACCATCCAGGTATAGCAATTTTCTATGTGTTTAGATTGTTTTTATGTGCATGGGTGTTTTACCTGTATATATGTGTTCAACACATGTGTGCCTGCTGCCTTAGGAGGTCAGAAAGGAGGTTGTATACCATGGAACTGGAGTTACAGACAATCGTGAGCCACCAACTGTGTCCTGGGATTTGAACCCAGGTCTTCTGCAAGAACACCAAGTGCTCCCCTCCCTTTGTTTGTTTGTTTGTTTGTTTTGACACAGGGTTTCTCTGTGTAGCTTTGGAGCCTGTCCTGCAACTCAGTCTGTAGACCAGGCTGGCCTCAAACTCATAGAGATCCTCCTGCCTCTGCCTCCTGAGTGCTGGGATTAAAGGTGTACACCACCACCTCCCAGCAATGCTCTTAACTGCCAAAACATCTCTCCAACCTTCGTTGTGGTTTTGTTTTTAAGGGAGAGTCTTGCTGTGTAGTCAAAGCTGGTCTCAAATCCATGCCACACCTCCTGCAACAGCATTCTGCAAGGCTGAGATGGCGAGTGTGTGCCACCACAGCCAGCTGTATTTCAAAAATGAACTTTCACTTTTGAGCTGAATTCGGACTTCCGCATGCAATTCTCTGATGCGCTCAAGCTGCTGAGGGGATTTCTGAATTAGTCAACCATTTGAAATCATGTCCGGTGCTCCCTGTCAGTGTACACCCACTGTTAGGGAAATTGCCCTTTGGTTGTTTTCTTGGTAGCTAGCCAACAAATATGGCACATGTAACAATGTAACTGTCTCTGATCTTGTACTTAGTGGCCAGAGACTTAATCACCTGCCTTAGCTACGCAATAGTAGACTAAGTGGTGTCCCTGAGAGCTTTTCTCTTCTACTTGCAGATGTTTGCCGATCTGAGCCCGTCTCTCCTGGCGTGGTGAGGAGACTCCAGGAGGAATGGCCCTTTGTGGAGCTGTTGCTCCTCAAAGAACAGTACCAAAGAGAGTTCAAGAACAGCACCTACTCAAGTAAGAAATGCAAGTGCCTGCAGGTGTTCTAGCCACGGGCGTGTTCGGAGGGGCTGCACTTGGATTTAGTAACCCCTACAGCAACGTATAAAGCTGCGCAGTGTTTAGATGCTATCAAGAGTTAATGAGGAGTCAGGGGGGATGGTGTCTGCCACACAAGCATGAAGATTCCCAGCATTCACATGAAAACTCTGTGTGTGTGTGTGTGTGTGTGTGTGTGTGTGTGTGTGTGTGTGTGTGTGTGTCTGTGTGTTTATGTAAGTAACCGCAGTATGGAGACAGGTGGATCCCCAGAACTAACTGACCAGCTACACTAGTCAGACGTTAGTGAGTTTCAGGTTCAGGGAGAGACCCTGTCTCAAAAACTAAATTGGGGGCTGGCATGGTTAAGAGCAGTGAAGGTGGCTCAGCGGTTAAGAGCACTGGCTGCTCTGGGCAGTGGTGGTTCATGCCTTTAGTTCCAGCACTCAGGAAGCAGAGGCAGGAGGATCCCTATGAGTTTGAGGCCAGCCTGGTCTACAGACAGAGTTCCAGGACAGGCTCCAAAGCTACAGAGAAGAAATCCTGCCTCAACCCCCTGCCCCCCCAAAAAGAGACCTGCTGTTCTGGCTGAACTGGGGTTTGATTGTCAGCTGCCACATGGGTGTCTCACAACTGCCTGCAACTCCAGTTCCAGGGGATCTGATACCCTCTTCTACCTTCTATGGGCACCAGGCACTCACAGGGTACACAGACATACATTCAGACAAAACACCTGTACACATTAGGTGAATCATTTTTTTAAAAGTTATTTGCTGTTATTTGTCATGGGTGGTAGTAATTTAAAAAAAACACAAGTGAAAAACAAAAGACAATGTTGCCCTGGCCTCCATAAGCATGTGCATACACATACACTGCACACAGGAACACACATACATGTACACACCCAGAGTTAGTTAATGAGAGAAGCCGGCATATAGCTCAGTGCTCGAGCAAACTCTGAGCATGCGTAAGGCTCCGGCTTCAGTAACCAGCATCAAGAAAAGAAGAAAAACAATTTGTGGAAGACCTTGAACCCAAAGCTCGCGTGGCTTTTTCCCTGACTTCTGACTCTGTCAGCTGGCCACAGAACGGGATTCAGAAACCAGTCATGGGAGTTGAGACATGAATATAGTTTTCCTGCAAAAGTAAAATATGGAAGTGTAACATATAAAACTCACCCACACTTCCTTCTTCTGCTTCTCATCGCAGAAGTATGGAAAGCCACCATGGGTTGAAAATCCTGAGTCTGAAAGTCCAAAATTTGAAATCCTCCAAAGTCCACTGTTCTGAGTTTTGGTTGAATTAAAGACATGCAGTTTATAAAGACTTTAGTGCTCCCAAATCCAAACACATGTGGGCTGCAAAAGGCTTTGGATGCAAGCATTCCAGATAAATATTTGAACTGCCCATATATCCTTTGTTTTGTTTTGTTTTTCAAGACATGTTTTCTCTGTTACTCCCAAATCCGAACACATGTGGATTGTAAAATGCTCCGGATCCAAGCCCGATAAATATTTGACCTATCCACATAACTTTTTTGTTTGTTTGTTTTACAAGACAGGATTTCTCTGGATAGCCCTTACTGTCCTGGAACTTGCTCTGTAAACCAGTCTGGCCTCCAACTTACAGAGATCTTCCTGCCTATGCCTCCCAAGGCCTGGGATTAAAGGCATGTGGCACCATGCCCAGATCTTATAACTTTTTAAAATGCCCTTATTGCTAGTTACCCCTTCATGTCCCGATCTCACACCCCAGTTTAACCCTTTCTGTTCCATTATTCCCCTTTACCTCCCTATACCACTGTTTGTTTGTTTCCAAGACAGGGTTTCTCTGTGTAACTTTGACGCCTGTCCTGGCACTCGCTCTGTACAGCTGGCTGGCCTCAAACTCACAGAGATCTGACTGCCTCTGCCTTCCAAGTGCTGGGCTTAAAGGTGTGCACCACCACCGCCCGGCTACCCTCCCTGAAAAACCTGTCCCCTTGGCCTTTTATTCTATAGGTACTCTCAGTGAAAAGGGAGTCAAAACTAAAATCCAGAAATGAGAGAAAACATGCAACATTCGTCTTCCTTTTTAAATGTTTTTATTTAAATTAGAAACATACATGCTTCAAATGTCAATCCCAGTTCCCCCTTCTCCCTCCACCAGTCCCACCCCAATCCAATCCACACATCATTCCCCAGGGAGGGTGAGGCTAGAGTCTGCCATTTCATCCAGGGCAGGACGTAGGCCCTTCCCCATGTGTCCAGGCTGAGAGAGCATCCCTCCATTGGAATGGGCTCCCAAAGTTCATTTGTATGTCATGGTGAACACTAAACTACTACCCAAGGTCCCAGAGATTTCTGAGGCCTCCTCACTGACACTACATTCTTGGAGTCTGGATCAGTCCTCTGTTGGCCTCTTAGCCATCAGTCTGGGGTTCAAGAGCTCCCCCTTGTCCAGTCAGCTGTCTTTGTGGGTTTCACCAGCATGGTCTTGACCCCTTTGCCCATCACTCCTCTATTTCTGTCACTGGGTTCCAGGGGGTCAGTTCAATGTTCACCTGTGAGTATCTGTCTCTGCTTCCATCAGTCACAGGATGAAGGTTCTAGGATGTCATATAAGGTAGTCATCAACCTTACCATCAGGTAGGGGCTATTAATGTAGTCTCTCCGCTATTACTTAGTTTTCCAGTTGGTGTTATCCTTGTAGATCTCTGGAAATCTCACTAGCATCAGCTCTCTCCTCAAAGCTATAATGACTCCAACTATTATGGTAACTCCCATACTGGTCTCCTCTATTCTTACCCCGACTCAGCCTTCCTGCTCCCCCATGTCTTCTTCTACCCTCCTCTTATCCCCCTCTCTTTTTCCTGGTTCCCTGTCCCCTCCCCCCATGTTCTCAATCTGCTCAGCAGATCTTGCCTCATTCCACTTCTCTGGGGTATATTGCATATCTCTTGGGAACCTCCCTGTTTCCCAGACTCACTGGCCCTGGGATTGTAGGCTGACACTCCCCTGATCCATGTCTAAAATCCATATATGAGTGAGTACATGCCATGTTTGTCTTTTTGTGACTGGGTTACCTCACTCAGGATGGTTTCTTCTAGTGCCATACATTTGCCTGCAAATTTCAATACTCCATTGTTTTTTCCCGCTGAGTAGTACTCCATTGTGTAAATGTACCACATTTTCTCTATCCACTCTTCAGTTGTAGGGCATCTAGGTTGCTTCCAGGATCTAGCTATTACAAATAATGCTGCTATGAACATAGTAGAACAGACATCCTTGTTGTATGAATGGGCATCTTTTGGGCTGGAGAGATGGCTCATGGGCTGGAGAGATGACTCAGCCGTTAAAGGCTAGGCTCACAAACCTTCGTCTTTCTATGTCACTCAAAATGATTGCTTCCAGCTCTACCCATTTACCTACAAGTTTTTAGCAGCTGAATAATATTCCATTATGTAAATGCAACACATTGTCATTATATTCGTTTGATGGACACCTAGGCTATTTCCATTTCCTGGCTGTTTTGAGTAGAGCAGCAATTAAAGTGGATGAGTAGGATCTACAGCAGGATACAGAGTTCTCTGAATGTAAGAACTGCCCAAGAGCAGTAGAGTTGGATCATGTTGTATTTCTAGTTGTTTTTTTTTTTTTAAACAGCCTTCTGCCTCCATGTATGCCTGCCGGCCAGAAGAGGGTACCAGATCTCATTACAGATGGTTGTGAGCCACCATGTGGTTGCTGGGAATTGAACTCTGGATCTCTAGAAGAGCAGTCAGTGCTCTTAACCTCTGAGCCATCTCTCCAGCCCCTAGCTGTATTTTTTTTTAAGTGCCTCCACACTGCCTTCCAAAGTTTCGACACCTGTTTGCACTGTCACCAGCAGTGGGTAAACAGGTAGGTGCCCCCTTCTCCCACATCTACTCCAGCATTTGTTATCTTTTTCCCCCTCTAGCTACCCAGTGTAGGGTAACATTGTCCTCAAGACTTTAACGTAAGTGAAATGAGCTTTCTTCACTAACTGTGGAATTCTTCTCATCTGAAAATTGATGCTATTGCTTGGGGCGGGCCGAGATGACAAGTGTGAGCTGCCTAGACCAGATTCTCTTTGTTGTTTTTGAGGCAGGGTCTCCCTGCTTTCTGCCCCTTCTCTCTTGCCCTCCTATTTCCTAAGAGACAAGCATATTGGGAGTTGGCCTGGTCATAACTCACAGTGGTCTCTGATTACTCAAATGGAAGAAAATAAGAGTCGCACATCTCTCACTCTAAGTCAGAATCTAGATTAAATAGTAAGGGCGGCTTATCCAACACTAAGGTAGACTGAACCCTTGGCCTCTTGTACCAAATGATTAGCCATGCCCTGAGTGCAAGAGGAAGGTTCTTTAGGAAAACTGGAAGTTCTACTCCAGTGAGCATGTGGATGACAGGAAGGGAAGCAGCTTAATCGAAAAGGTTTTAGTGGTCAGGATGGAAGATCAACGCAGCCACAGTGCTCCCTTTGCCCAGGGCAGAGCTAACCCTGGTGCTCCTCAACACAGCCACAGTGCTCCCTTTGCCCAGGGCAGAGCTAACCCTGGTGCTCCTCAACTCTGCGAAGGGGAAAAATGTAAGGACACTGCAGGAGACCTTAGAGGGGCCTCAGGCCAAAGCAGCACACATGCTATAGCTGCAGCAAATTATCCAGAAGGTCTAATAATGTGGTTGGTGAAGAAACTTCAGAGTTTCAGTGTAGCAGTCTTTTATTCTGGAAGATACCATCTAGGACTTCCATAGCTGAAGAAGAAAAATCAACACTGGCTTCACTCCTTCAGTGGGAGGCTGACTTTCTTTGGTGGGTTCAGGGTCTCGAAATGATGGGGGACAGACCAAAGTCTATTAAACCAGAAGCAAGCTTTATTCCAGAAAAAGAAAAAAATCACCTTCGGATACAAAAAGCTTATCAGCTATAAACCATGACCACAGCCAGAGTCGAGCTTCTGAAACTGTGGCGATGGGGGCTGGTTTTGGGCTTCTTCTTATAGTAAAATCCAGCACCAGGCATGGATCAAAGAGCTTTTACAACCTTGAGGTCAGGCTTAAAGCACATTGCACTTTAAGTTTTACAACTTTTGATTATGGGATGTTAACTTAGAATGCTTGCGAAAGCCTGTGACAGAGACAGCAGAGAGTAGGACAGTTAAAAATTCAGGGAATACAATGCAGAGGAGTCCCATAGAGGCCACAGGTAGAAGCCAGTCTCTGCTGTGGTGGAACTTTGTTTATGATCTAACAAATAAAGCTCTGTAGACCAGACCAGCCTCAAACTCACAGAGATCGGCCTGCCTCTGCCTCCCCAGTTCTGGGATTAAAGGCGTGAGACACCACTGCCCAGCTTTTTTTTTTTTTTTTTGAGGGGAGGGGAACTTTTTTCCTATACTTCAGATTGAAAGGGCAATCTGTCTCCATGAATCCTCAGACTGCACTGAGCTCCTGTCTCCTCCTGCCTTATATTCCTCTCTCTGCCCAGCCATATCACTCTTGTCTCCACTTAACTTCCCTAGTTGTGGGATTAAAGGCGAGTCATTCCAAGTGCTGGGATCAAAGGTCTGAACTCTGTTTCTCTTTTAGACTGGATCAATTTCATGTAGCTCAGTGTGGCCTTGAAATCACAATATAGGTATGTGAGGAGACCACATGGTATTAGGTAATAGGTGAATTTCCATTTTGAGGGGTCATATTAAATATTGTACTTGTTTGTCTTTAGTTTCTGAAACACATTAGCTAGGACTTATCATATGTTACCAAGGCGATGGGTTTGGAGCGTCTTTCCTGCCTCTGCAGAGATGGCCTCCTTTCCATCGTGTAACTGTCTTAGCATAGTCCAGCCACCTGCTGATGGTAATAGAATGTACACACACAGAAGAGATGTCCTAGAAAATATAGGAAACTTTCCCAACACAGATCCTCTTGAATCTACCTAAGTCAGTGGTTTTCAACCTTCCTAACGCTGCAACCCTTTAGTGCAGTCCCTCACGTTGTGGGGACCCCCAACCATTGCTACTTCATAGCTGTAATTTGGCTACTGTTATGATTTGTAATGTAGATATCTGTGTTTCCCAAAGGTCTTACATGACCCCCATGAAAATGTTGCTAGACTCCCAAGTGGATTGTGACCCACAAGTTGAGAACTACTCTCTTCAGGACAAAACCCATTTGGATTGTAAACCTGTTAGGGCAGAAGGTACAGAAGCAGTTAGAACAAACTACAGAAGGGCAGCTCTCTCTTGTGCAGGTTTGATTTAAAGAGCCAGCATTTGGCTTCCTTTCCTCTACACTTCCTTCCCACTGTCCCCATTCCCCTCAACATGCAGCCCTATGCTGAAGGCCTTGATGTTAATTTACACTGTAAATTGAAGGAAAAGACCCTGCTCTGTTTCTTTAATGTGTTGTCTAGTTTATGTTCATCCCAAAGATTTCTCTACTTAGAGAGAGAGAGAGACAGAGAGAGACAGAGAGAGAGAGAGAGAGAGAGAGAGAGAGAGAGAGAGAGAGAGAGAGAGAGAGAGAGAGAGAGAGAGAGAGAGAGAGAGAGAATATATTGTGTGTGGAATGTGTGGAAGTCAGAGGACAACTTGTGGAAGCTGGTTATCTCCTTTCTCTGTGCCACTCTTAATAACCACCCAGTGACTTATTATTAATTATAAACGCTCAGCTGATAACTCAGCTTTACTACTAACTAGCTCTTAAAACTTAAATCAATCCATTTCTACTCATCTATATGCTGCCCCGAGTCTCGTGGCTTTTACTTCTCCTGCATGTCCTGCTTCCTTTCCGTCTGGCTGATGACTCCTCTGACTCTGCCCTTCTTCCTCCCAGCATTCTCTGCCCTGAAAAATCCTTACTAGCCATCAGCCAATCAGCTTTTTATTAACAATGAGAACAACACATATTGCTTGTTCCTCAGCACTCCTGTTCCTCTGTAAGTGAGAGAGGTGAACCTATAACTCAGGTGGCAGACTTCTGATCCAGAGAACTTTCTAAATCACACTTTTGCAATATGTCAAGTGGTCATGGGTGTACTTGCAGCAACTGAGCTACAGTTCGCAGTAGGCTGTAGTGTCAGCAGTATGCTTTTGTTAAGTGCTTAGGGCTGGACTCCATCTTTAGTCTACATGTATTACTAAGAACTGGACTGGAACAGCCACCACAAACCCGGTGTGCAGTTAGGCAACGCTTGTGTGGTTCGGGCCTCACAGGAAAGTGAGTGTGAGGTTTGCGTGTGCTCTGTGATCCCCAGCTCCATCAAGGCTGTCCCAGACCGAGGCTGTAAACCCCAGTGAAAAGCTAGGTGGCTGCACTCCGGAGTTTCTCAAATCCCAGTGTGTGTCACTCCTTACTGACTGGCCACAGTGCTCTGGAAGTGACACACCAAATATCACACCTCCTAAGGCTCACTGGAGTTGTGCCCCTCAGCAGCCTCCATCAGCACCAGTGAGCATGAAGCTTCCTGTTGTGATTGTGAAGGTGATCTAAGCCAAAGACTTTGCAGCTGATCAAAGCCAAGTCACTTTTAAGGCACAGGTTTTGACATTTGCCACACAGAGAGGTGTTTGTTGTTTCTAAATTGGAAGAGTTGCTGAGTGAATTTCTGCTGAGTAATGATTTGAAAATTTACATGAAAATCATAGTGCCTATGACACCCAATTCAAAGACCACACTTAAAATTGTGTTGTTAAGGGGCTGGAGAGATGGCTCAGTGGTTAGGAGCACTAGCTTCTCTTCCAGAAGACCTGTTTCAATTCCCAGCACCACATGGCAGCTCACAAACACCTGTAATTCCAGTTCCAGGAAATCCAATATCCTTTTGTAGCCTCTGAATGCATTGTATGTGTGTGGTGGTACACAGACATGCATACAGGCATGTATGGGTGGTTGCTCATACACATAAAAGTTTAAAAACTTTAAATTGTATTAATGACACTGTCAAAACACAAGTAGAAAGCTACATCCCAACACTTAGGAGATGAAGGCAAACGAAGGAAATTAGAAGTTTGAGGTCATCCTAAGCTGTATAGTGAGTTTGAGTTCCAGACTCCATGCTAATTAACTACTCTACCAACTGGACTAGATCCCCCTGCAGGTTTTTCTTTTTTGATTTGTCTGTTGACTTGTGTCATTGCTTGGGCACAATGACAGCCATTTATTAGGAATGGAATTACTTTGACTAAACCATATAAAGAAATCTAAGGAAGAGAGTCTGGGGTCATCTTCACCATGGTGTTGACCTAACTAAACATCACCATTGTTCTTTTAGGAAGCTCAGTAGACATGCTGTACAGTTTTGCAAAGTGCTCGGGGTTAGACCTGATCTTTGGTCTGAATGCATTGCTAAGAACTCCAGACTTACGGTGGAACAGCTCCAATGCTCAGCTGCTGCTGGAATACTGCGCTTCCAAGGGCTACAACATCTCCTGGGAATTGGGCAACGGTATGTACCTAGGAACATCTCATTCATAAAGGAATTCCCTCACTGTTCATTTTCCTGTTTTGATATTCTTTTCCACATTGGTAAATGTTAGAGGTCTTTTCCATAGACCTCTCCTTCGACACAGTCACGCTCAACAGCAATGGTGCTGCATCAACAGAAAGGTCCTCTGAATCCCAGAAGCTATTGATAAGCCCAGTTTATGGGCATGTTCAGTGTGTGTGTGTGTGTGTGTGTGTGTGTGTGTGTGTGTGTAAGCAAGGGGAGTGTGTTGAGAGAAGCCTTCCCGCCAGCCTGGTTCCAGAGCCGCATCAGTCCCAAATGAACACACAGGAGGCTATATTAATTATGAAGCTGTTGGCCTTGCTTGTTTCTTACTGGCTAGCTCTGACTTAAGTAATTGCCCCATAATTGTTAATCTAAGTATTTCTCTTACCGGAGAATAGTTCCGGGCTTCCTACCCCATGGCGTTACATCTTGACTCTCTGTGTTTCTCCTACCCAGAGTCCTCCTGGACTCCTAGTCCCACCTATCTTGGTTCCCTATTGGCCCAACAGTGCTTTATTGACAAATGCACAGGACTTCCCACATCAGGCCACAGTACACACATGCATAGGTCAGAGGACAATTCTGTAGAGTTGGTTCTCTCCTTCCTCTTCTACAATGGTTCTGTGACAAATGTTTCAGCAGCTAAGCCACCTTGCAAGCATATCCTTAAGTTGTTTTTGAGGTAAGAAAAACTACTGGAGCCATCAACTCCCCAGCTCCCAGATTCCCTTGGGCTTTGCAGACTTTTAAACTTACTGTGCTTAGCAAACAGAACTCAGTGAAACTGTGAGGGTGGCAGTTTGATTCTCCCCTTCCTTTCCTTTCTTTGTTTCTTAGTTTGTCAGGTCATCTCCATGTGGTGGCTTGTAAGAGAAATGTCCCCCATTGGCCGAGGTCCGTGTACAGCTTGGTGGCCTATTGGAAGAACTGTTTGTGGAGGGCAGTGCAGTCTTGCTAGAGGAAGTATGTCACTGGGAGCTGGCTTTGAGGGTTTATTGCTGCACCTGTCAAGGACTGGTGTCTTTGGGGCTGTAATCCAGACCAGCCGAACAGCCCCAGGCCTGTTCCTGAGTAGGGGATTGTGGATGAGGGAAGGCTAGCTATAGACATTAAAGGAAAGATGGAGACATAGAATAGTGTCAGGAGGGCAGTTTCCGTCCATACTGAATGTGCCCAGTTTATTCATGAATCATCTTAAGTAACCAACCAAAGACGGGGACAATGGTAGAAGACTTCTATTATCATGCATAAAGGGCAAATAGTATTTATTTCCCTTAATCCTAAAGACACTCCATAGCTGTATGTCACATGTATTACTAGGCCATCAGGCACTCCATAGCAGCACGAATCACCTAGTCTTCAGGATGAGCATAAACTGAATCTAGGTCTATTGTTATTTAGATAGGAGTCATTCACCACCTAGGCTAGGACATCCTGCAGCTATTAAATATCTTAAAGACAATAGGAGTCACTTGAGCAGGATGGAATAGATTTCCAATATACAACCCCTCCCACATGCAGCCCAGATTCTCTCTGTCTCTCTCTGTCTCTGTCTCTCTCTCTCTGTCTCTCTCTCTGTCTCTCTCTCTGTCTCTCTCTCTCTCTGTCTCTCTTTCTCTCTCTCTCTCCTCGCATTCTGTATGTGACTAAGATGTGATCTCTCAGCTTCCTGTGTTGACCACCTACTGCCTCTGGAGCCATTAAGACAAAAGAATTATTTCTTCCACAAATTGCTTTCTGTTACTGCAACAAAAATAGCTACTATACCCCAAACCCCACACTAACCTCTGTCATATGCTCCAGCTGTCTAGAAGCTGCCAGCATAGATTACACATTGTTGTGAGCCACCAGACAGGTCCAGGTCATATGGACTAGCAGCCAGTGCTCTTAACTGATCCATCTCTCCAGTCTCAAGGAACTTACAAGTTCTAACTAATACGCTAATGATTAGTCAGAATTTTCCATCCCTCAAGCAATAAGGCTAAATATGAAGTGCAAAAATAAATGTAGTCATTTAATGAGTCATTTAATGTTAAGGACAGGTACTGTTAGGCACATAAAATTCTTCTCTCTGCCCGTTTTTTTTCTTTCTTGTTTTCTTTTTTTTAAGTATGTGTGTGTGCACGTGAGTGTTCTTGTGTTTTTATGTGTGTGTGTGTGTGTGCGCGCGCGCGCATACGTGTGTGCATGCTTGTGTTCTTGTGCTCATATGAATAAGCATGCAAAGGCCAGAGAACACCCTAGAGTATCCTTCCTTGGGTGCCTCTACTTTTTTGTGTGTGAGACAGACCTGGTCTCTCATTGGCCTGGAACTTACCTTGTAGCCTAGCTGGAGAGCAAGCAACAGAGATCATCCCGTCTTGTCTCGTCTCTCCTGTGCTGGGTTTACAAGTGGGCCACCATGTATGACGAGTGGGCCACCATGTCTGGGAATCAGTCTCAGGTCCTGCTTGCAAGGCAGGTGTTTTACTGATTGAGATGTCTTCCTAGCCCCTCACTTTCTTTTGTTCTTTGTAGGTAAATAAATTATTAAATTGGGCTACTAAATACTTTCTATAAACTATTTTCCAAATGCTCATTCATTTAACAACTCTATTATTAACTCTAATTTGTTTACTCCTCCTCATTCCATAATTAGGAAGTTTATGTTTCTAAACTCTGTTCTTTATTAACTGGAGGGGAGGGGGTGTATGTCTTACTCTCCTTGACTCTCTCTCTCTTTTTTTAAATGTGCATAGTGCTTTGCCTGCATGCATGTAAGTGTGTTGGATTTCCTGTAACTGGAGTTACAGATTGTTGTATGTGGCCATGTGGGTACTGGGAATTGAACTCGTAACCTCTGGAATAGCAGTCAATACTTTTAACCTCTGAGCCATCTCTCCAGCCCACTTTTCTTGACTTTCAGTTATTGGTTTGTAATTTGAAAACTGTTGGTTGCTGTGTGCTTGTGTTTAAATATAGACCATTTAGATGAGAGGTGAGTTCGAGCATTGCTGTTTTCCAGAGCCCAACAGTTTCTGGAAGAAAGGTCACATTTTCATCGATGGGTTGCAGTTAGGGGAAGATTTTGTTGAGTTTCGTAAGCTTCTACAAAAGTCGGCTTTCAAAAATGCAAAACTCTATGGTCCTGATGTTGGTCAGCCTCGAGGGAAGACCGTTAAGATGCTAAGAAGGTAGGACTTGGGGGGATGTACAACTGCTTTCTCCTTTTTTGTTTTGTTTTATTTTGTTTTTTGGGGACAATGCTCCTCTATGTAGCCCTGGCTGTCCTGGAACTCCCACTATAGACTGGGCTGGCTTAGAACTCAGAGATCCGCCTGCCTCTGCCTCCTGAGTGCTGGGATTAAAGGTGTGTACTTAAAAATTAGCCCTGTGTGCTCAGCTTAGGTGATTCCAATTTTGTTGACAATACCCAAAGCTCTGTGTGAGGAGGCAGTGGAGCGTGTGCCTTCTATCAGGCCTGGCTGGGGTATCCTTGGGCCCTATCAATGCCCTAGAGTTTCCTCTCTGCCCATTTGATTTCACTCTTGTTGGTCTTGACATTAACAAGGAACTGGAGTGTGCTGATTTCACTCTTGTTGGCCTTGACATTAACAAGGAACTGGAGTGTGCTGATGACTTCTATTTTCTCAAGACTGACTCAGCGGTCTGAGAGAACGAGATGATAACTTAGGAGTCAAGCTTGTTTCTCCTGGGGATGCTGTCACAGAGGTGTTTGGATTGCCCTGGAGCTGTGAGCTGTGGGCTGTGGACGGTGGGTGATGTGTAGTCTTTCTTTATGTGTTGGTGGATGCCTTTCATGGCCATGACCTTGACTTTAGCTCTGAGAGGGACAGGGGCTTCTTTGCTTTTGGTGCCCTCCTGGCAAAAAAAGCAGAATTCTTCTTAGAGGTAAATGGTCCTTTCCAGTGGAGAATCCCTGAAGTCCACATTATTAAACAGTTCGCTGTTGTATTGTTTACCCAAAGAGGAAACATCGGCTTAAAATTCCAAGAATAGTATTAGGGTGTTTGTGTTACCCGAGACTTACATCATACTCAGCCATTCCCGGGGAATGAAGTTCTTCTGAAAATTTGCGTCTGCTTGTTTAAGAGTAAGTGACCCCACTGAGGAACTTTTCTTCTAGTTTCCTGAAGGCTGGCGGAGAAGTGATCAACGCTGTCACGTGGCATCAGTAAGTACTCACATTAACTTAATATCCCCATTATTAACCTCAGTTTGTTTAATACCCCGCATGCCTCCATGATATAGTTACATTGCTAATAGCAGCTAATGGACTGGAGGGGTGGCTCTGTGGTTAGAACACTTGCTGTTCTTGCAGAGGACCTGGGTTCATAGCAGCCTGTGACTCCCTTTCCAGAGAACCCAATACCCTTTTCAGTCCTCCAAGGGCACTACATACACATGTTGAATATAAACTCACACAAGCACTCATTTACACATACAATTTAAAAATCCAGTTGGGTGTGACGGTGTACATCTTTAATCTAGGTGTACAGGAGACATAGGCCAGTGGGTCTCCATGAGTTTGTGGCTAGCCTTGTCTATATAGTGAGGTCCAGGCCAGTCTGAGCTACAGAGTGAGACCCTCCCTTTCCCTAAATAAATAGACAAATAATTTAAAAATTATTCTTGAGGTTTGGTGGTAGCACACACCTTTAATTCCAGCACTTAGGAGACAGAGATAGGTGAATCTCTGAGTTCGAAGCCAGCCTGGGCTACAGAGTGAGTTCCAGGACAGCCAAGGCTACACAGAGAAACCCTGTCTTTTTTATGTGTATTTGGTTTTGTTTTGATTTTTTGGGACAAAGTCTATGTAGCACTGACTGGATGTCCTGGGCCTCTCTAGGTAGACCAGGCTGGCCTTGAAATCACAGAGACCCCCCCCATGCCTCCACCTCCCTAGTGCTGGAGTTGAAGGCGGGCAATATTATGCCTGTTCTAGTCAAACTTACTGCCAACAGGTTATTTTTGCCTGGCTGCGGATTGACTTCGAACAGCTCCAGTAATAAGCAAGCAGTATCTCAAATATCATTACAGAAGGATCTCAACATTGATAAAACAAAGTGTAATGTTGCTTTAAATAATGCGGTAGTCACTACAAAGATCGAGGTACAAGGCCACGTAAGCCGTGAATCACAAAAATGGGTAGGACCAGTTACCAGTCTGTAGTTCTGTTGGTCTCTGCTTATGGTGGGATAACAGATTTATAGTTGCTTGGATAGATTGGCCCCTTCCTGATGTTAGCTCCTCTCTGTTGCGGTGGGGTACCTGATTTATATGGTTACTTGGATAAGATGGTCCCTTTCCCACATTAGCTCCTACCTGGAAGAACTGCTGCCTTTTTAAAAAGTAACAATGAGAAATGGTTGGAAAGAGGTTCGGAGCTGACTTAACAGCAGGAAGTAAACTGTAAATTTTTCTGAATAATTTAGCTACTACTTGAACGGACGCATTGCCACCAAAGAAGATTTTCTGAGCTCTGATGTGCTGGACACCTTTATTTTATCTGTGAAAAAAGTTCTAAAGGTAATAGTCTTGCTAAATTTTTCACACACACCAGTCTGTGTTATAGTCTAATGATGTCTATGGGTTTACACATATTGCCATTTTTTTCTAATTTTAAAGGGTTACACAGTTCGTGTAACCCTTTAGTCCTTGGTTTCCTCCCTAGCGTTGGATCTTATTTAGCTGTGGTAGTTAGAAATCAAAATATTTCTAATGGCCTTTCAGTAGGAGTAACTGTTATAGACCACATTTACTTATATGCCTTCTATACCCTACTAGACTCATAAGAGATAATGGCAAAGACCTAAGAGAGCCTGAGTACGTTTGTAATTAACAGGATGGATGAGTCTGGAGAAGCGCAGCTTTCTCGGCACTCACAGTCACTGAAGTGGCTGACTTGTTTGCAGTGACTGGAACTATCCTTGTTCCCCAGGTGACCAAAGAAATGAGACCTGGCAAAAAGGTCTGGTTGGGAGAAACAAGCTCTGCCTACGGCGGTGGCGCCCCCTCGCTGTCCAACACCTTTGCCGCTGGCTTTATGTGAGTGACGCTGCACGGGCTTTCAGATTCCAGATCTTTCCATCTCTAATGTCAGCCGAAACGACATCAACACAATTTCTCTGACAGAGCCCTAAAATTTTGTGCTAGGTCTTACAAAAAAAAGTAAATTTCCAGGCTCCAGAGATGGTTCAGTGGTTGAGAACACTGGCTACACTCCAGAGGACTGAGATTCAAGTCTCAGCACTCACACAACGGCTCATAACTGTCTGTAACTCCAGTTCCAGGATCTCCTGTAACATCCTCACAGCATGCATCCGGTGCACAGACATGCAGGCAGTCCAAACGCTCATATGCTTTTGTCTAAAATGCTTTGCTGAACCTTGTTGAACATCTCTAATTGGTGTCCCCAATCAACTGTTGTAAGCATGAATTGTTTTAGGAAGTTTGGCTGGGCATGATGGCACGCATTTGTAATTCTAGCTACTGGGGAAGCAGGGGCAAGGGGGATTACAATTCAAGATCTGATTGGACTACAGAGTGAGTTCAAAGCCAGGCAGGCAACTAAGTAAGATCTTGTCTCAAAACACAAAAGTAAAATGAGGCCTAAAGATATAACTCAGTGATAGAGCACTTGCCTACAATGTTCATAGGCCCAAGGTTTAACCCACAACAACAACGATGATGATGATGATGACAGAGAGGAGGAAAAGAAGGAAGATTATGCCCTAAAATTAGGTCAAATACCTGAGGCGAATCCTTTAAGAGGAGAAAATGTTTACTTTAGCTCATTTCAGAAGTTTAAGCACTTGAAGCATGTGTGGAGGAAACTGCTCATCTCATGGGTGACCAGGAGCAAACGAGAAGGAACCAGGAGGGCCTGATACCCTTTGAAGGGCCTACTTCTTCCCACTAGACCCTATGGCCTCACACAAGCACCATCAGCTGGGGCCAGGCTCCCACGCACCAGCCTGTGGAGGCCATTTAAGGTCCAAGCTATAACAGGGTCCCTTCTCTAGGCAAGCTTGCTCTTTTCCAGGAGTGGAAGCTTGCCTGTCATCCTGGCATGTGGAAGCCCACAGCAGGATCTGGGGGTCACATTGAAACCCTGTGGGGGAAAGAGACAAGGCAGGCAAGGAGAGAAAAGAGAAAGGAAGGGTCGAGGAGGAGAGGGAAGATGATAAAAGTTCTTCCAGATTTGGTGCTCTGAGGATGGTTCATGCACACATAGCTGTACTGCAGATTCTCAACATGTTTAGCCCTAAAACACTTGTGTCACACTTAAAGTTGACCTGTGAACTTCAGGATTGGCTGTGACACCTCATCCACTGGACAAATGTGGTTGCTTTTGACCAGGAGTTGCTTATATTCAGCACCTCACTGTCTCCATGTTCTTCATTCTGTAACCTCACTGTCTCCATGTTCTTCATTCTGTAACCTCACTGTCTCCATGTTCTTCATTCTGTAACCTCACTGTCCCCGTGTTCTTCATTCCGTAACCTCACTGTCCCCGTGTTCTTCATTCTGTAACCTCACTGTCTCTGTGTTCTTCACTCTGTAACCTCACTGTCCCCGTGTTCTTCACTCCGTAACCTCACTGTCTCTGTGTTCTTCATTCCATAACCTCACTGTCCCCGTGTTCTTCACTCTGTAACCTCACTGTATCTGTGTTCTTCATTCCGTAACCTCACTGTCTCTGTGTTCTTCATTCTGTAACCTCACTGTCTCCATGTTCTTCATTCTGTAGCCCTACTGGTTTTTTTCCTCTTCCATTTTATTCTTTCATTGCCACCATCTCTCTTGTTATAAGTTCGAACAAAACACAAACCCTTCAATGTCCATGAGGACACAAGGAATTGAGAAAAAGTGAAGAGTTTGCCGTTCACTGAAAGTGTGGGGAGGTGATCATAGTGGTTTGGTTGTGGTTCTGTGTGGCTCATGTTTTGACTACTGTGGACAGCTGCCTTCTCCCTGGTCTTCACTCTGTGTGTGTCTACACACATTGTGGGGTAGAGGATCGAGGACACTGGAACTGGATAAGGAATTGTCTGTAGGGTGTGGGAATTTGATTCTGCTCTGTAGAACTTGTCTTGCTGTCAAGGAAACTCTTCTGGCTTATTAATGTTGTTCTGGATAGAGCGTGTTGGGAGGGTGTGTGTGTATGTGTGCTACTTTTGTCACCTTGTCATTTGAATGACTTATTTGTAATTAATGCCATTCTTGTGGTTTCCTGTTGATTCCTCCCACACAGATGAACAAATCTATGTGTAATTAGAATGGAATGACTTTGTTTTCTGGTCTAAAGAAAGCTCGTGTCACTCTGTCCCAGGTGGCTGGATAAGTTGGGCATCTCAGCCCAGATGGGCATAGAAGTGGTGATGAGACAGGTGTTCTTCGGAGCAGGCAACTACCACTTAGTGGATGAAAACTTCGAGCCTTTACCTGTAAGTGACCTTACTTTCCTGTGACTGCGAATAGGTGGAAGTCTGCTCTGTGTTCTCCTAATCTAGGAATAGGCAGTCCTGTCCGTCAGTAAAGATCCACGTGCGGGGTGATGAGCTGAGAGTTTGTACGTGCCTGTGTGCATGAGAGGAGAGAGAGAGAGAGAGAGAGAGAGAGAGAGAGAGAGAGAGAGAGAGAGAGAGAGAGAGAGAGAGAGAGAGAGAATTATAAATCAGTAATGATTTTTTTTTAATTGTCCACTTACCGGGCCATGGCAGTGCATACCTTTCATTCCAGCACTGGAAAGGCAGAGGCAGGCAAATCTCTGAGAGTTCAAGGCCAGCCTGGTCTATATAGTGAGTTCCAGGACAGCCAGAGCTACACTGAGAAGCCCTGTCTCAAAACACAAAAGCAAATAATGGATAATGATAAAATAAACAAAACATAAAATATTGTCCACTAAGAGTATACATTTTATTAAGCTTTTTGAATGGATGTTTTGCAAGGCAAGTTAGAGCTACAATTACTGTTCTAGGCTGGGAGGTGACTCTGTTAGTCAAGGTGCTTACTGCATTTGAGTTTTTTGTTTGTTTAGTGTTTGGCTTTTGGTTTTTTGAGACAAGGTCTCTCTATGATGTAACTCGTTGTCCTGGAACTCACTATGTAGCCCAGGCTAGCCACAAATTCACTGAGCTTCACCTGGCTCTGCCTCCTAAGAGCTGGGATTAAAGGCATGTGTCAGCACACCCAACCACCTTCATTGCACTTTGCAAAACCTGGTGCAGTGTTGTTCATCTGTGATCCCAGAGCTCCTACAGGGAGATGGGAGGTGGAGGCAGGAGAATTCCCAGAAGGTTTGGGGCCAGATACTCTGGTGTATCATCCATCAACAAGCAGAAAGACCAACATCAGAGGTTGCTTGCTGACCTCCACACAAGCCCCATGGAGTACGTACGCCTGCACTCACACATACACATGCCATAGTAAACACGAACACAAAAAGAAAAGGTAAAATGTCATCCAAGCGACTGGCAAAGATTCAGAATTTTTTATAGATCCAAATGTGGTATTTCCTGCCAATAATTCCACACTTGAGAGGCTGAGGCAGGAGAATAACCATGAGTTCAAGACCAGCCAGGTTACATGATATGTTCCAAACCAGCCTGGGATACAGAGTAAGACCCTGACTCAACCCTGTTACAAAGGCATAGAGTTTGTCTAACTTTACAGTCTGCCAGGGTTATGTATTTGTTTTAAAAATACCATCCTTTGGAAGAGCAGTCAGTACTTCCAGACCTTCTAAGAATAATTCCTTTTGGGTTTTGTTTGTTTGTTCTGGTTTTTCCAGACAGGGTTTGTCTGTGTAGCTTTTTGGAGCCTGTTCTGACACTGGCTCTGTAGACCAGGCTGGCCTTGAGCTCTCAGAGATCTGCCTGCCCCTGCCTCCCAAGTGCTGGGATTAAAGGTGCGTGCCACCACCGCCCAGCTCTAAGAAGAATTCTTAAGAGAATGATTTAATATATTTAGCCAATATTTCAGTTTTGTTGTTGGAAACATTATGAGATGACTTTTTCAGATCAGAACTTACCCACTCACTGTGGTCATAGATACCTATGGGACAAGTGTCAGGTTCTTGTAGGATTGCTGTTTGGTTGACACTGGCTTGTTAAATATACATAAGGAAATAACCAGATCTGTTTTCGGTCCCTCTCCCTGAACGATAGGACTACTGGTTATCTCTCCTGTTCAAGAAGCTGGTGGGTCCCCAGGTGCTCACGGTGCGAGTGAAAGGCCTAGACAGAAGCAAACTTCGAGTGTATCTCCACTGCACAAACACCCAACAGTAAGTACCAAACAAACCCTTCCCAAACGAGTCTGAATTAGTAAGCATGTAACTCCTTTTCCAACACCCCGATGTCTTCTAGCTGTGCAATGGACCTGACTGTGTCATTTCTCTTTATCCTTTGTCTCATGATACCAGAGTCTAACTTCAAAGAACTTCTAGCCGGGCTGGGTAGATGGCTCAGCTGGGGAGGTGCCTGTGTGAAGCATGAGTTCAATATCCATCATCCATGTACAAAAAGCAGGATGTGGCACTGTGTCCCTGTAGTCAGGGCACTGGGGAGGCAGAGACACCCCTGGCTGTGCTGATTGGCCACCCATCTATCTGAATTATCGAGCTCCAAGCCAACAAACAAGAGACACGAAAGGCAACTGAGAAAAGCATCTAATGTCAGTCTCTAGCCACCATACACATGAGCACACATCTGCACACGTGTGCTCACGCACGGGAACACACACAATCACTTAAACAGGCACTGGAGATATGGCTCAGCAGTTAAGAACACTGACTGAGGACCCAGGTTCAATTCCCAGCACCCACGTAGTGACTCACAACTGTTTTGTAACTCTAGTTTTAGGGCATTCAACACTGGCTTCAGCAGGCACCAGTCACACACCACACACACACAAGGCCATACCTACAGGGTATTTAAACTCTAGTTTCTATACCTACCGTGTGATTTCTCTTCCCCCTCTGGAGAGCGGAGAGCGGAGAGCAGGGAGCCGGGAGCAGAGTGTAACAACTCTGCTCTGCCAAGGAAGGTTTCCCGGGCGAGCGCTGCTCGCTCTGCTCTGCTCTGCTCTGCTCTGCTCTGCCCAGGGTCGCCTCTGCTCTGTCGCCGCCACAAAAGAAGATCTTCACCCGAAGCTCATCCAAAGGGGTTTATTGGAATGCAGCTGGACCAGCCAAGCTGAACATACACAGGGTTTATATAGGGATTGGGGAAGTTTTTCCAGAGTAGGGATTGGTCCGATTTCAGTGCTGAGCTCAGATTGGCTAGAGCTCTGCTCCGGGATTGGTTACTTTTTTACACAGGATTAGGGTTAGATTTGGCTCTGGTTTCAGGGCCAAAGTGTGTTTCTTTCTCTGGTCCTTTTTAGCCTTTTGCCTCCAATTTTAGGGCCAGGGTACATTTCTTTCACTGACTCTGATTCCAGGGACAAAGTGTGTTCCTTTGGCACTGGTTTTAGGGTCATGGTACATTTCTTTGGTTGTGGTTGCAGGGCCAAAGTGTGTTTCTTTGGCTCTGCTCAGGGTGTGTTTCTTTGACTGGTCCCTTTTCCCTACACCCTGAATTTCATTAGGAATGAATTTTACACAAGTAAAATGTCACCTAATGCAGATGAACAATTTACCCCTTAAGGAAGTGTGAGGCATGTAAATGTAAACATGAACTAATATAAATGTATGAGTCTGTGTAGGTACTGATCTCCTAAGTTTAGCACGGTAGAAGAAAGAATCAACACTGACAATAGTCTCATACGACAGACAGGGCTGACGTTGTGGCTCAGTCGGTGAAGGTTCTGCCATTATGACTCACAACCCGATTTCCATCCCTGGGACCCACGTGGTGGGAGGACAGAACCAACTCCCTAAAATTACCCTCTGCCCTCTGCACATGCACACACATAAATAAATCTAACCTTTTAACTTAGAGAATCTTTCTTAAGTTGTAACTGGGCCAGCAGACAGCTCATCAGGTACTGGACCTGCAGGGACTGAGTTGAACACCACAAGGTAGGGGCAGAGAACTAACTCAGTTGTCCTCTGACCTCCACACATGTGGCACACACATGTCCTTCCCAGAAGTAAACCAAATAAACAAAAAATATTTTTGAGATGTGACCACATTTTCTAGATGGAGAGGCCGTGCAGATGTCTGCAGCCCCAGCCATGTTGATGTTCATAGCCCTGTCTGTACTCTGTCTTTGGGTAGAAAGAGTGTCCCGAACCCCAGGGCTTTGCAGACAGGCTAGTGCTAGCCCCCAAAGCCGCCTAACATTCTCTGTTCCTGGTGACTGGGGACTCTGAATAGTGACAGTCGTGGTATGAAGTAGGGAATGGTTTAACTGGATAAATTCTGAAAAGTCAACAGATTTATGTTTTATTTGAAACAGGACCTTACTAGGTAGTCTTGACTGGCCTGGAATTTGCTATGTAGACCAGGCTGGCCCTTGAATTCAGATCTGCCTGCCTCTGCCTCCCACATGTTTGGCCTTTGTTTTTTTTAACTATATTTTTCATTTTGCCTAATTATTACATTTTGTGTGTTTTTGTATATGTGTGTGCTCACATGTGGGATGCCCATGTGTATTCAAGTGTGTGCATGTATGTACACAAGCTTGCATGAAGAAGTCAACAGTCTCAGGGGCCCTCCCTCAGGGACCGTCTACCTTTTATTAGAGACAGGGTCTCTCATTGGCCTGGAACTTTGCCAGGTTTGCTAGGCTAGCTGGCCAGCAAGCTCTAGAGAGTCACGTGTCTCTCCTTTTTGTCTTACCGTCACTAGAATGACAAGCATGAGCCACCTTGTCCAGCTTTTTACAGGGTTTCTGGAGACTGACTGAGCATTTTACCAGCTTACCCATCTCCCCAGCCCCATTTCAGTCTTTTTAAAAAAATTATTCTTGTTTTATATGCATAGGTATTTGCCTGCATGTTTGTGTACCTACCACGTGTGTACCAGGTGCCCTTGGAGGCCAGAAGAAGGCGCAGGATCTCTTGAAATTGGAGTTACAACAGTTGTGAACTGCCTTGTGGGTTATGGGGATGAACCCTAGTCCTCTGCAGTCAAATGCTCTACCACTGAGCTATACCTCCTGAACCCTAGTCCTCTGGAAGAGCAGCCCATGCTCTAACCAGCCTCCTGTTTAGTCTTTTTATAAGACTAGGAAAAGTTCTTGTTTATATAGTCTATAACTGGAATTCACTGTAGATCTTATTATCATTAAACCTTTCACTGGCTATGACCTTCTGAAGCTCAATATAGCAAATAATCAAAGCTTTTAGTGTTCTGGCTCAGGAGGCAGTGGTGCAAAGAACAGTACTTTTCTTGTTTTCAAAATAGGGCCACAAGATTGGTCTAACACCATCCTAGAAAAGGTCACGAATAGGTCCCACCACCATTATGAACACAGGCACTCAGTATCCTTGATTGTACGAATGTTCAAGTTCTTTGTTGTATAAATCAGACAGATAGGTGATTGAATTAACCTGTTTGCTTTCAGCCCAAGGTATCAGGATGGGGATTTAACTCTGTATGCCTTGAACCTCCATAATGTCACCAAGCATGTGAAGTTGCCACATCAACTGCTTAACAAGTCGGTGGACAAGTACCTTCTAAAGCCGTTTGGACCTGATGGGTTACTTTCTAAGTGAGTCATTTTTCTTGTTGAATGCAAACTTTATGTAAGTTCATTAGCATTTATCAGAATAGAGAGGGTTTCTTATAATGGGGGAGGGGCAACTAGTACATTCTAACTTTTTTATTTCATAAATTCTATATATGAATACTTATTTATACAAGTATAGCTCATGGAAGAGGGTGACATGGAAGGGTATGGACGCAAACTAGTATTTATCTTAGAAGACAATCTGTAATCCCAAATATTGTCACATATCAAGATCCATTCAATGTATTTAGATTATTTGTTTTTTTATATTTTTATTATTTAAAACAATTTTTAAATTTAAATATATTTTTATCATATTCTCCCCCTCCCCAAGTCCTTCCAGATCCTCTCCCTATTCACTTAACTTTAGGTTCTTTCTCAAAAAAAAAAAACAAAAACCCAACACAACAGCAAACCCCTCACCCCCAAGACCAAGAAAATAAAATAAACCCACACCCCAAAAAAGAAGACAAACAAGTAAACAAAACCACCAGACTATAACCAAATAAAAGCGCACACAGAAAATGTGGACTCCATTATATGTTGTCAGCTCCTCCCGAACATGAGGCCTGCCCTGGAGAGGTTGAAGTAGCACTCTATGGAGGAAAACTCATTTTCTCTCTCCCAGCAGGTGAGTGCTATTACCCTGGTGGCTAGGTTTCCATTCATTGACTCATCATTTTAAAGATACATACAACCAAATAAGCTGTAAGATAAATTAAAAACCTATCACACCAAACAGAAGAAAAAGCTGAAAAGAAGGTGTAAGAGCCAGGGACGCACTGTTCACACACTCAGGAATCCCATAAAAGCAGCAACTGGAAGCGGTAATACACACACAGAGGGCCTGGGGCAGAGCTGTGCCGGCCCTGTGTGTGTGCTCTCTGGGAGTTCCTGTGAGCTTTGCTCATGTTTGTTTACAGGACCTTGTTCCCCTGGCGCCCTCCGTCCCCTCTGGCTCTGACATTCTTTGCTCTTTCTCTTCCGTGGGGTTCCTTGAGCTCTGAGGGGAGGATTTTTTTTAGACACATCCTCTTTAGGGCTGAGTGTTCCAAGGTCTCTCACTCGGTGTAATATGTGTTCCCATTCAGGAGGAAGCTTCTCTGGTGGTGGCAGCACGTGGTACTGACCAATGAGTACACAGAATAGCATTAGGAGTTGTCTTATCGCTACATATTTTTTCAGATCAGTAGTATTCGTTTTTTCCTGTATGTCTAGTCTTAGGTTCTTGGTCAACCAAGTAGTGTCAGGTACGGGTTCCTGCTCTTGGAGCGGGCCTTAAGTCAGATCAGTTATTGGCTGGTTACTCCCACACGCTTTGTGCCATCGCTGCCCTGGCGTGTCTTACAGGCAATACACCATTGTAGATAAAGGGCTTGTGGCTGGCATTTATCAAGTGTAGAGTACTTCCGCATTTAGAGTAATTGTTCGGAAAAGATACCCGGACAGCCAATGGCACGGAACCACCCATCTGATCTACGAAGGGCATGTGGGTGCAATAAAACACCACACACAGCTGGATGGGATTCTCCTGCAGCATTGAAGTAGGTTTCTTTTGTGGGGGGGTGCAGAATAGAGTAAGACAAATAGCTGGAAATGAGATTCTAGGTAAAGTATTTGAATTGTTTTAAATGCATTTCATGTGTGCATTCCTGGGCACAGAGGTCTGAGGCCAGCACGCAGGGGGCAGTTCTGTGCTCCCACTGTGTGGGTCCGGGGAGTCAGACTCAGGCTGTCAGGCTTAGTGACAAGTGCCTTAGCCTGCTGAGCCAACACACTAGTGTTGAGTGAAAATATTTTAAGTGAAAACAGTATTTATCTCAGGTGCACTTTTCCAAGGCTCCCTGATTCTGCCAAACCTTCGGCTTACTGATTCTGCCAAATCTGTGGCTTACTGATTCCTTGAACCTTTATCTCACCTGTGGTTCAACAGACCTGTCTTCTACTTTCTGTCCTCCTGTTTCTGTAACATGGAACAAGTTACTTCCCTCAGATACCCCCCACACACATACACACACACTACTGCTGAATCAATAAACACACGTCCTTAGAGTACGTCCTTAGGGCAGCTGATTGAACGCTGCGGTCTGAGCAGGTGGATCTTCGCCGTGTTCCTGTCACACACAGCACTGTTACTTCACAGTAACCAGATCTACCTTCAAATTAATTCACTGTAACCAGATCTACCTTCAAATTAAAACACAGTAACCAGATCTACCTTCAAATTAATTCACAGTAACCAGATCTACCTTCAAATTAAAACACAGTAACCAGATCTACCTTCAAATTAATTCACAGTAACCAGATCTACCTTCAAGTTGAGCTAGCAAAGCACTGACTCGATCCTAGGACTTCATTAGACATTTGCTCTGTAGACGAGGCTGGCCTCAAACTCCCAGAGACCTGCCTGCTCCTGCCTCCCCAGTGCTGGGATTAAAGGCATGCGCCACCGCTGACCAGCATTGGTAGGCATTCTCAAATGGCCCTTCATTTCATGCCAAGCAATCTCACTACCACCACTCAGAGATATTTTTCAAGACCTACATTTGCTTGTAGTTTCCTGAAGATGGGTCGTATTTCCTGCCCTTCCTCGTGTAAACTCGATGTGATTTGTAAGCATAAAAACAAAACCAAAGTCAGTGGACTGAATCCACCTCAGAACAGACTTGATGGTAGCCCCTGGCACAAGTGTTGTTAGCATGTCCTGAGTCGTGGGACGAGGTGCTGAGCATCTAACAAAGGTTATGTGGAACCCAGTTTCTACCCACTGATCCTAGTAAGAACGGGAGGTGACGCAGGACGTGATGACACACACCTTTAACCCCAGTGCTCGGGAGGCAGAGGCAGGTGGAACTCTGTTAGTTCAAAGTCAGGTTAGTCTGCAAAGTGAGTTCCAGGACAGCCAGAGCTACATAGTGTGATCCAGTCTTAGAAAAGAAAAGAGGTGAAAAAAAACTTTTAAAACACAAACAGGACAAGTCAGTCATGCCGGTGCATACCTATAATGCCAACACTTGGGAGGCAGAAGCAGAGGGATGGCTCACAGTGTAGGGGCCAGCCTGATCTACATAGTGAGTTCCAGGACAACCAGAGCTACAAAGAAAGAACTTGCCAAAAAAGAAAGAAAGAACACAGGATAATTCCACCTGGAAACAAAATGTCTAAAAGTAGAGGATTAAGTAAATGTACTAATTAATCCATATCATAGAATCCTGTGTGTTCATTAAAATGATACAGTGGATGAATATTGTGTCATATGAACAAACATGCGGATGTATTAAAAGCAAAAGAAGTTTTATGAAAGTATATACAGGGCTGGAGAGATAGCTTAGTGGGTAAGAACACTGGCTGCTCTTCCAGAGGACCTGGGTTCAATTCCCAGCAACCACATGGTGGCTCACAACCATTTATAATGGGAGCTGATGCCTTTTTCTGGCATGCAGATACAGCACCCATATACATAAAATAAATAAATAGTAAAAAAAGGAAGAAAATATATACAGTATACCCATTTTAGTTAAAGTAATATGTATTTCTAATGCATAGAAAGATGGATTGGATGTGTTGAGGAATTAAAAGTAGGATTATGTCATAAATTACTTTTGCTAGGTCTTCTCCTGTTTTCAGCCTTTGAGATAGGGTCTCGCTGTGTAGTCAAAGCTGACTCTGAACTCTGGACTCCACCTCCTGAGGATAGGACCACAGCTTGGCCTATAATGTTTACTTGTATAAAAATGGTGATAGCCAACATCTTCATAGTGCTTATTGTGTAAAGCATAGTGATGACTGTTACATATTGTCACATGCATTCCGTGTATGGTACAAAAATAACCATCATCAATTCTGTCAGTTTTTTGTTTTTTTGGTTTTTATGAGACAGGGTTTCTCTGTATTGTTTCGGAGGCTATCGGTCCAGCCCGGCCTCGAACTCACAGAGATCCGCCTGCCTCTGCCTCCCAAGTGCTGGGATTAAAGGCGTGCGCCACCACCCGGCCCAATTCTGTCAGTTTTTAAAAACAACAAAAATCATTCATGAAAAAGAAAGAACCTAGGTGTAGAGGAAGTAGGACATTCCCTAGGAGTGTGAGGCCAGCCAGGGTGGCACAGTAAGCTACAGTATGTGACACTGTCTTGGAAAAAAAGATAATATAGGTTCTTAGTTTGTACATGTTTCCGTAAAAGGCCAGGTAGTAATACTGCATGCAGACGTAGCAAGTCAGATGGTTTCTGGTCCACAGTGGCTTTCTCTCCCACTGCAGTTTTTTAAGTTTGTCTTGGTCAAACACCTAGTCTCACCTAGTGTTGAAATATAAATTATATAACTAAAGCTGCCACAAAAGTCCTCCTTGGTTTAAAATGATCTCACAACTTCTATAGGGGTCACAGTGCATGCACAGCCTGCTTAACTCAAGTGCATCTTTCCTTCCTGTAGATCTGTCCAGCTGAATGGAGAAACCCTGAAGATGGTGGATGACCAGACCCTACCAGCTTTAACAGAGAAACCTCTCCGCCCAGGAAGCTCACTAGGCATGCCTGCCTTTTCCTATGGGTTTTTTGTCATAAGAAATGCCAAAATTGCTGCTTGTTTATGAAAATAAAAGTCATACAATAGCTCTGAGAGGAGAGGGTCAGGGGTGTTATTCATAAGAGTGAAGCAAAACTCTGTATGTATCTGTGTGTAGGAAGGTCGACTTGTTACCAAGCTCCAGAGCCTTTGGGAGGACTGGGGGACGCTTCAGTGAGCGTGGTGATTTCATTTAACTCGAACACTGCAGGTGATGACAGTTAATGGCACCGTGCGTCAAATGATGCTTAGCGTCTTGCATGCACTGTTTTGGGGGTTATTAAAAATGTGTAGGAATGCCTCCGATATGTCCAAAAAGCAAATGAGTGAAGGATTTTTTAAAGCTTTGTTTTTATTTTATTATTTTGGTTAGCAGATTGTCACATCTGTCCTTCGGAAGCCTCTCTGTAGCTCATTGCCACAACTTCACACTGGCTGGGAAAGACATTCACCTGCTCACACCCTTTGCTCTCCAGAACCCACCTGTGAAAGGACAGATGGTTGGGTGGGATAGTATCAAAAACAAACAGTGACACTGAGAGGGAAGGGATGACATAGGGTTTGGAAATGACTGTAAAGGAGGCGGTTGGCTGTCGGAGAAGTTTTAGGAACCACCTGTCACGTCATTGTCATCCTCGTGTTTACTTTTCCTGTGCCACTAGTTCTTGCTTTGCATGGGAAACTTTGGCCTGTGAGTAACAGAAGCCTCTAAATGAGGACATTCATAACCCCACATGAGACGTTGTTCAAGTGAGGCAGGGTCCAACAGCTGGACCCCTCACCAGGGACTGGCTTCTTTCATGTGCTGTCTGCAGCACTAGCCCTGTTCTTGGCCTGGTCACATGATGACTGTGGCTGGTCTACAGATTCACTGATGTCCGGCAGCAACCAGCAGAAAGGATGGGCGATTTCTTCAGAGACCCGAAGATATCTTTCCTGGATGTTTTCCCAGCAAGCCTTTCTTCAAGTCCCAAGTCCTACTGGCCAGGAATAGGTCTATGGTCATTTCCCCAGGCACCTCCCGTGACCATTGGCTGCCACTAATTGTCTTCAGGCAATCCTCCTCTGGTGCAGAGAGGTTTGGTGGAGTCCACAGCACTGGACATTACAGTCCTGTGCTTTGATCAAGTAGCAAAATGTAATTATTTCCCCCCAGGATTTTGACCATCTTAAGGATTACAATTCTGTATGTTTGTGTCTGCTATGAATATTCTCTCAATTGAATATAAGCAGTTTCCACCTTAAAGTTTGGATGCCTCAATATTCTCAAGTTTTTATGCAAGCAGTTTTTATATTTTCACATTTGAAATAAACTAATTTTATAGCCTTAATTTGCATGGTTATTCTTCTAAGAAAGCTAAAGCTTACAGGTTATTAGATTTGAAAGTCTGGTTTTGATGGATTGAAGCTGTGGCTTACTGGAAAAATGCTAGCCTAGAACAGACAAAAGGTCCTGGGTTTGATCCTCAACACTGCACAAAGAATACATGAAGGGAGGAACAAATGAATGAATGAAGCCTTTTCCTTCACCGTTTCCTTATGCCTCCTACCTGCATTAGTTCATCCTCCCCAACATCAAAGTTCCTGATGGAAGAAAAGGAGCCATCAGGCATAAACAGTTTTCTACTTCAGTCATAAAGTCTTGACTTAGCTATTTTCCTTGTGCGTCTTCCACTGAATAAACTCAATGCCTAGTTTCCCACCTGTATGATTGTAGCATCAGCTGAGTTGTTCATTCACCCTGACTTTGCGTCAGACTCTTTTAAGATTTACTTGTTAGTATTTTTCAGTTGTGTGGGGGAGGGGAGGGGGTGCACACCTGTACAGGTGCCCTCAGAGGACAGGAGTGTCACATCCCCCCTGGAGCTGGAGTCACACATGATTGTGAGCCATCGGACACGTGTGCAGGGGACTGGACTCGGGTCTTCTGCAAAGACAGTAAGTGCTCTTAACCACTGAGCCACCCGCTCTCCAGTCTTGCTGGAGATACTTAAATGGCTTCCCATTTCTTCAGGCCCATGAGGTCCTTCAGTGCCCGGCAGCAGCCTTTTTGTCAGCCGGAACCCTAGTCTCTTCCTCCCTCAGTTCCTCCAGGTACACAACGTGGAGCGTCGGAGCACGCAGCGCCTTCCGCTCCCATGCGTTTGTGTGCGTTCCCTCTGGCTGTTCTAGCCCAATTCTCCCTTCTAGGCGACGAGTGTTCGTGTCTGTGAGGACCCAATCAGACGTTAAGTCCAACACCTCCTTTAGCTTCTAGTCACTTGCCTCGTTCTAGTCTTTCCACGGAGCCCTCACTGTGGCACTCACAAGCTATTCCAGCTGCAGCCATCCCATCTCACTTGAAGCTTACAAGCATCATCTTTGCATTTCCTGTGATTAGCATAGCGTCATAAATGGCTCCCTAATGACAAGAAATAGCTTGAAACTAAAAGCACAGGCAACCGAGTTCTATCCCTGGACCCACATAAAGGAGAGAACTGACTCCGCAAAGAGCTGCCTTGTGGGTGCTGGGAACTGAACCCGGGTCCTCTGGAAGAGCAGTCAGTGCTCTAAACTTCTGAGCCACCTCTCCAGCCCTATTAGTGTGACTTTTTAAGCTCCTATGTCTGTTAGCTTTTAATCTTTGTGGTTCATAACATCACCACAAAAATATGAATGTCCAAGTCCAGGGATGAGACTTGTCAAGGCATGAGTTTTGCGGCTGAAACCGTTTTTACTTTCTTTAAAAAAATTTATTATATGTATTTATTTATTCAGTGTATGTTTGTGTGTGCATGCATACACATCCCATGAAAGGCCATGAATATCATGTTACAACGGCAAAAGGTTGAACACCTCTGTGGGATTCACAGAACAGGACAGACAGCTGTGGGTGTCTCCTGAGCGCCAGCCTCATGCTAGAAACTATTGTTTAGACAGTCTTGTCTTTGGTGCTCTTCTGTCTTCTCTAAGGTACATACCACCGCTAAACAAGGTGATTGAAATAGGTTTAAGAGCCCCCCCAAAAAAAACCTGATGGAATTTTACATCATAAAAGAATAAAATAATTAAGCAAAATTAAAAATAGCATTATCATCTTTGCCCTGTGAAATGAAAAAGAAAGCATTCATAATGCTCTTTGAATTTAAATATTTTGGCGGGAACTCCAGGCAAACGGAAGCAGTGTGCAAGTCTAAAAGCGTTTGCATGATGGGCACCTCTGCTACCTAAAAGGGGGTTTAAGAATAAACAGCAGGCTGTGGTGGCACATGCCTTTAATCCCAGCACTCAGGGAGGTAGAAGCAGGTGGATCTCTGTGAGTTGGAGACCAGCCTGATCTACAGAGTGAGTTCCAGGACAGACAAAGTTACACAGAGAAACCCTGTCTTGAGGTGTGGGGGTGGGGCAAGTGTTTATTTTGGCAACATTATGGAAAAGTGTCAAAGTTCAACTCTTAAGTACAAGATGACTGACACTGCACTGTTTTACGTCTTTAGACGGAGGTCAAAGATCGAAGGACCAGCAGCGCTTCCCAGACTGCAGCCTTGTCCTCATTCTTGCAAGCAAGAGAAAGGCCAGTGCTCGTCCTTCTGTATTTCTCTTCAAGCTTCAGGCCACCAACCTGTCGTTACGCAGGTATCACAGAATTCACTGCACAGGACTTAAGGAAAGAAATCTAAAAGGACACTCCACCACCTCAAAACTCTAAAATGCAGAAGAGCGGCTTACCCAGAGCCAGTCAGTGCGGGGCTTAAGTGGGATAACATACCAGGTGCCTGGTGCACAGCAATATGCAAAAGCTGCCTACAACTAAGGGTGCCGTGAAGTTGTTCTTGAATCAAACTGTGGCTAACCGTCAAAAGTAGGTTCTCACTGGAGTAAATAATTTAGCATATTTTTAAAAAATCTGAAGTTTATCTGACTGAATTTGGCCTCTTGGTTCCCTTTTAACTTTAGAAGGTGAACATCTGGATGTAGTTAGCACTTCTGGACTTTCGCTTTTCGTTTTGTGTAGAACTATTCCATGTAATAAATAACTATCCTTTTGAGTTCACTTGGAGCTGGAGAGATGGCTCAGCGATGAAGAGGGCTCAGGTTCGATTCCCAGCACCCACGTGGTTCAGCACCTCCATAAATCCAGTTTCAGGGGAACAAACACCTTCTTCTGACCTCCGTGGGCACTAGACATGCACGTGATGCATATACATACATACATGCAGGCAACCTAACACACACACATAATGCACATAGTGCACATACATACAGGCAGCCTAAAGCACACACACTCGAGGACAACCTGACACATATATACAACACACACGCACGTGATGCACATACATGCAGACAACCTGACACACATGCATTTCTACATACATGCATCACACGGAGCTCGCACCCACCCAGTTTACAGCAAACGGCCTTCCGACCCACTGCGCACGCACGCCCGCGGCCGGTCGCCCGGGCTGACGTCATTGAGCGGCGTCCAGCCTCGGCGCCATGCTGGGCTTGCGGGGCGGAGGGTTAGCGCGGGGCTTGCGGGCCGTTCCGCCCGCCTGGCGGCGGGGTCCGCGCGGGCTCTCGCTGGCCCTGGCGCGCACGGCGGGGGCGTCGGGCGCGCGGGACTGGCGGGCTCCGGCCCCGGGGGCGCCGCGCGGGCGCGCGCTCAGCCTGTCGGCCGCGGCCGTGGTGAACTCGGCGCCGCGCCCCCTGCAGCCCTACCTGCGCCTCATGCGCCTGGACAAGCCAATCGGTGAGTGAGGCGGTAACAATTTTCTCTAATCCCCAGGTAACAGCTGAATTCTAGTTAATTTAGACGCTAAGATCCACAGTTTCAGTGCATAGACTTACATCCAAGTGTGTGAATTGTTACTTACCTTTTCCTACCCAGAACCCCCAAAGTGCCCCTATTTGAGTTTTGGTGTTTTGTTTTCAGACAGGTTCCCATTATGTATCCGAGGCCAGCCTCCTGCCTCCATTTCCCAGTTGCTTGGATTGTGGGCATGCACCACCATTGTTTTGTTTTACTTTGTTTGAGACAAGGGCTTGGCTTTGTGCTCCAGGCTGGCCTCAATCTG